GGAAAGCCAGGTAAAAGAACCAAATTTGGACAAAATAAACCCATTTAAATCTGTAACGGCTAAATGAAACGAATCTCGCAGGCAACAAGGCACATTACAGCAGTAGCGTAGCGAAGGGGGGGGGGGGCGGGGGGGGGGGGGTGGGGGGGGGACATATGTCCCCGGGCGCCGACCTTAGGGGGGGGCGCCAATTTGAAAGGTTTGAGGGGGGGGGGGTGCAAATGAAAAGTTCGAGGGGGGGGGGTTGCAAATCGAAAGTTTGAGGGGGGGGGGGTTGCAAATGAAAAGTTCGAGGAGGGGTGCAAATCGAAAGTTTGAGGGGGGGGGGTGGGTGCAAATGAAAAGTTCGAGGGGGGTGCAAATCGAAAATTTGCTCCCAAGGGGGCGCCAAATTGACAGTATGTCCCCGGGCGCCGGGAAGGGTCGCTACGCCTCTGCATTACAGCAGCCACAACATGATCCGGGAAAAGGCCGACATGGGCAAAAGGCCGATAGAAAATTAGGCCGACAAGAAAAAAGTCCGACATCAAGAAGGCCGACTGGCCTTATAAAAATAACAAACTCCAATAACATACAAGTTTGGTATTTCTTGAAGACAAGCTATAAAATGATGAAATAAAGTGAAACATAGATCTTGAGCCTAGTAAGGCAAAAATTGCATACATTGCACGTAAACATTAATCAATAGATTTGATTTAAAACAGATTTTAACAAGTTGTTCTGGGGCATGCAACTTTATTTTTTTATCACCCAGCGAGAACATTAGGAAAAGTATGATCACCAGTAGGAGCATGAAACAAATAAAATATGAAACTATAATGTATGTCGGAGAAACCGGGCACTGAAAACAACTGAAAAAATACGGAATATCTGGGAAAGGAATATCGTCATGAAAATGTAAGGGTCGAATGGGTGGAGAATTCGAACCCAACATGAGATTAAAGATATAGCAGCTTGGAGTTTGGAGACCAGACGTGGAAGCTGTAGACAGCAGACGTCTGAATGGAAGAAAGTGGTGTAGTGGCCAAACACCTCCAAGGGTTGTAGAGCCGCAGAATGGATAGATGTGATGGAGCGATATAGAAGTAAAAGCAAAAGTTATGATCAGAAAATGTTTTTGAACAGATTTATAGAAACGCTTTTATTTTTTATTATTGACCGAACATCCAGTAGACCTGTGTGTCCGTTCATTAGCCAATCAACGTGCTTGTGTTAGCTGGTGTACCACTAACATTAGTCCAAGCACAGCCAGATAAATTTGTGGGACTAGAGGCCAAATAATTTCACGTATGAAGCTAAAATTTTGGCTTAATGTTTTGACTTGACCAACATTCTCCCGCTACTTAAGTTGACCGTATACAAACCCTTTCGCGTATTCGTGTTCTAGTGTGGAAATTAGGTCAGGGACGCTATCGATTATTTATGCAAATTAGCACAGGAGGTAAATGTCGATAAACGTAGCATACAGCTCCCCTCGCGTCTATCTGGTCCCCGCCGCCTACGCTTACATCCAGCGCTACGTACCAGGCCAGTGATTCATGCATTGTTTGTTATTGTCACTGGGGTTTTTTTTTTTATTGTCAATGTTTATTTTCATTGTCACTGGTTTTTACTGTCACTGTTTTTTCATTGTCACTGATTATTTTTATTGTCCCTGTTTATTGTCACTGTTTATTTATTGTCTCTGTTTTTTTATTGATACGGTTTACTGTCACTGTTTATTAATTACACTGTTTATTGTCACTAGTTATTATTGTCACTGTTTATTATTGTCTTCACTGTTTAATATTGTTTTATTTACATTATAACACATTATTGTGTGCATTTATTTGTAGTGTTCATAACTAAACGCAAAATAAACACATTGAAATATTAAGTCAGTTAAGTCATTTCTAAAATTGAACTATCTTTTTACGATTTCGAAGTAGTGGCGTAGCTACCGTAAAGCTAGCGTAAGCAAGGCACAGGGGCCCAAGGCAAATAGGGGCCTTTTTTCAAAAGTTTGAGGGGGTGCAAATCGAAAGTTTGAGGGGGGGGGGTTGCAAATCGAAAGTCTGAGGGGGGGGGGGGGTTTCTAAAATGCGACATAAGGGCTAAAATTCGTTTTCTAACATTGCTTTTTTATAATGCAAAAAAGTGACGTCACACCATCTGAACACGCCGGGAAAGGTCGCTACGTCTCTGAGGGGCCCACTAACACTTTTTGCATAGGGGCCCAAAAATCCTAGCTACGCCACTGTTTCGAAGGGCCATTCTAGTTAACCAAAGCGGTTTTATTTACTACGAGCCGACCCGCTGCGTATCATACGCCGCTATTTAGTTTTTTTTTCTACTTTTCAGTAATTTATAATTTGTGAATTCGACAGTACCAATGCTGCCACTGAAAATATGTGCTTAAAAACACTAAACCCCCCTTCCCCCCCCCCCCCCACGTGAAAGCAGCCTCCTCTTAGTTACCTCCTCTAAGTTTAAAATCGTTTCAAACTAAATTATCTGCCCCTAATAGCCGTCACCAAACCCGTCTCTATGATTGTAAAATGTAAACAGCGTGACCACAGCTCACCAGACAATGTTGGGGTGGGGTGGGGGTGGTAGTGATAGTGATAGAGAGAAAGAGAGGGGACTGCAAGGAGGCGCTTGCAGCTTGTTTTCTAACGGCTCCCAGAAGAGAATTATTATATACGAGCCGACCCGCAGCGTATCATACGCCGCTATTTAGTTGTTTTATTTTTTACTTTTCAGTAATTCATAATTTGTGAATTCGACAGTACCAATGCTGCCACTGAAAATATTTGCTTTAAAACACTAACCCCCCCTCCCTTTCCCCTAACCCCGACTCTACACCCCCCCCCCCCCCCCCGTGAAAGCAGCCTCCTCTTAGCTATTTCTTAGTTACCTCCTGTAAGTTTAAAATCGAACTAAATTATCTGCCCCTAATAGAAACCCTGCTCTACGGCTCTTCGATTTGTAAACATTTATCTTTGTAAACATTTAGAGTGAACACCGCTCACCAGACAATGTGGGGGTGGGGTGGGGGTGGTAGTGATAGTAATAGAGAGAGAGAGAGAGAGAGAGGGGGGGACTGCAAGGAGGCGCTTGCAGCTTGTTTTCTAACGGCTCCCAGAAGAAAATTATATATACGAGCCGGCCCGCGGCATAACATACGCCGCTATTTAGTTGTTTCTAATTTTCAGTAATTCATAATTTGTGAATTCGACAGTACCAACGCTGACACTGAAAATATTTCTTTAAAACACTATAAGTAGCTCGTTTAGGACCGTACCCCCCCCTTCCCCCCCCCCTACGTTTAAAATCGTTGGCTCTGCTTGTAAACATTTAGAGTGAACACAGCTCACTAAAACCATGTAGGGGTGGGGAGGTAGGGAGCGCGTTTACATCTTGTTTTCTAGGCGCGTTTGCAGCTTGTTTTCTAGCGGCTCCCAGAAGAGAATTACATATATAGAAGATAGATATATTTTGATAAAGAATTGCTTATAATTAAATAACATCCCGTGGAATTGGGTGACCTCAAAATGCAGGCATTAAGTTATTTGAAATGCTAATTTCCGTTTCCTAATGAATCCTATAAAATGCAAAACCAAATTTAGAGCAAGAGATTTAGAAATAGGACCATGGTATGGGGTAAAGTTTATTTTTAGAAGCCTTCTTTTAAATGTGTGCTATAATCTAACACTCTGCTTTCGCATACATGCTCAGAAAATAAAAGAGAATATTCCAATATGCCAGAACAATATTTGATGTCAGGCAAGCAAATTTAAAATCCAAGCGTCCAAAATCTTAGTTTTGTCTGGAGTAATCCCCCCTGAGCATCCCTCTTCAATTCTGTCGCGAAGGAGATTAAAACCTCCCCTGACGCAAGAGCCGCGAGCTTCACGCCTGGTTGGGTAAGGAAGACGTCATCAAAATGCACGCGGCCCGCGCGGCTGGTGAATAATTCAGGCCGTCCTGTGTGCGCGTGCATCGTGGCGACACGCGACACGTGCGGGTGAGTCGTGCTGTAGGTGTGACGCGCCAACCGTTTCACCAACCCGTCCGTGTGTCACTCCCGTGACTAGCTCTCGTCAGAGAGGGGAGGTAAAAAAATTACAGGCGATCAACATGACTATTGATCAGCTGTTGATATCGTCAGCGGGTCGAAGCTAAAGGGGGGTAATTTCGCGTTTTTATTTTTTCATCGATATACTGGTACACTGTGCAGTTCATGCTCATCACACGATGCAGTGAAGCGAGATAAAAATAGCCTACCACATCGTGGATCTCGGGATAGTCTATAAAATCATTCCGTAAGTGTCATTGTTTTATTTGTAATTATAGTCTAAAGTAAATACAGAATCTATATTCCCTTCACCGAGTAGCTGTTTATTAACACATTTTGTAAAATGATTACGTCACATTATACTGTAGTGTTGTCACGAGCGAATCTCTATGTGACGTCACCAGCACTCAGAGTGTTGTGATTTATCTTGTAACCCAAGAAACAATGTCTTAAGCCCGTGTTGTTCATTCTAAAAATAGACTTCAAACGGTTACTTTTTTTCTTTACTGGATTGAAGTATCGATGTATGCGTGTGGCAGGTGATTGAGATTTGGCCTGACTTGCCGCTGATTTTGTAAAAGCTAAATCATGTCTACAGCGTCTATCTCGTGGTGTTGGTAGAGGCTGAACAAAAGTGGGATTTTCTTTTTACATTGTGGATACTCGTGCTTTTAGAGGCTCTACAAAAGTGGGATTTTCTTTTTACATTATGTATACACACGCCTTCAGACGGCCGAACAAAGTGGGATTTTCTTTGTGGGTTGTTTGTACACATGAGAGGCTGCACAAAAGTGGGATTTTCCTTTTGTTTTTTATACACATATATGCCTACACATACCATTAGAGACTGCACAAAGTGGGATTTTATTTTTGGAATGTTTGTGTACATATACACATACTATTAGCTACCCGGTCAGCACTGAGCTTGCTGTTCGTTGTTTGTAGATATGTACAGATGTGTGAAAATTGTACACTTAGCGCTTATTCTACTTTGAAATTTAACGAAGTGTCAAGTAATGTGTATTAATAAATGCCAAGTAACTAAGGCTAGAGAAATGTCAGATACAACATTTAACAATATTTCAACGACTGAATATTGACATATGTCACAGATGACAAATGCCATGTAGAGTAAAAGGCTTTTGTTTAGGAATAATTTTTTTTAGTTTTACGACATCTGATATAGCAATGCGTCAGTTTCGTAATGTCAAATGTTACATCCGTGTAATTAACGGAGAATAACCTATTGTATGTCACTGTAATCTATACAGCACCATGCATTCTGACATACGTTGTGGCACTGTGTTGCGAATCTGCAACATCACAGCAAGACCAGAACAAGATCAGAACAAAACCAGAATAAAACCAGAATAAAACCAGAACAAAATCAGAACAAAGTCAGAACAAAGTCAGAACAAAGTCAGAACAAAGTCAGAACAAAGTCAGAACAAAGTCAGAACAAAGTCAGAACAAAGTCAGAACAAAGTCAGAACAAAGTCAGAACAAAGTCAGAACAAAGTCAGAACAAAACCAGAACAAAACCAGAACAAAACCAGAACAAAACCAGAACAAAATCAGAACAAAACCAGAACAAAGCCACCGTTAAACATCATCACAATGTCGATAGTCCCCTGGTAATCGAGAACTCTTCATCTTTAATGGCAAACTCAAAGTAAACAAACATGGCGGACACAGTTCATTCTCGGCTAACTACCCCCCCCCCCCTCCCCTCCACCCCTATCTCACCGACTTGCAGACGACTCAATGCAGCGTGATCAAGTTACAACATAATGTACGCGCAGCGAGATTTGAATGTTAGATTGTTGCACAAAAACCTAATGCGTTTTTTTTTTTGTCGATCTACAAACAGGAACATCTGAGTTTCTTGTTAGTGATGTGTATTAAAATTAGTGGTGTGGGTGTGTGTAGTTAGAGGTGTGTTTAGGTTTGTTGTGAGTGAGTGTGTGTGTGTGTGTATTTCTTGATATAGTTTGTGGTGTGTTTATTTGTTGATATAGGGCGTGTGTGTATAGTTTATCGATTGGCCTGTAGCTCTATGTGCAGGGAATTTTAAACGTTATCTGTCAATTACATATCATTAACTCATATTACAAAGTAGATCAATTTTGAAAAAAACTACTCAGCTTGTATCAAAGTAGGTCAGATGAAGTAAACAACTAGAAGTGAAGTTCAATTCCCTAGTTGATGTCACAACAATATAAACAACTCACACAACACACGTAGTTCTACAACTGTATGGGAACACAGGTTCGTGTTGACACTAGAATCCATTGACACATTCAATATTTGAGACACATCAAGTTCACTAGAATCCAGTTGACACAGTCAAGATGTGGCCCACGTGACGTTAATCAGACTAGTAGAGAGTTGTTAACGTCAATGCGAGCTGTGGAAATGTGTATGTGTATGTGTCGTGTTGCTGTGTATGTGTCGTGTTGCTGTGTATGTGTATGTGTCGTGTTGCTGTGTATGTGTATGTGTCGTGTTGCTGTGTATGTGTCGTGTTGCTGTGTATGTGTATGTGTCGTGTTGCTGTGTATGTGTATGTGTCGTGTTCCTTTGTATGTGTATGTGTCGTGTTGCTGTGTATGTGTATGTGTCGTGTTGCTGTGTATGTGTATGTGTCGTGTTGCTGTGTATGTGTATGTGTCGTGTTGCTGTGTATGTGTATGTGTCGTGTTGCTGTGTATGTGTATGTGTCGTGTTGCTGTGTATGTGTATGTGTCGTGTTGCTGTGTATGTGTATGTGTCGTGTTGCTGTGTATGTGTATGTGTCGTGTTGCTGTGTATGTGTCGTGTTGCTGTGTATGTGTCGTGTTGCTGTGTATGTGTCGTGTTGCTGTGTATGTGTCGTGTTGCTGTGTATGTGTCGTGTAGACAGTCAGGACTTTAACATAGCAGGACATAACATCATGACCTGTCCACAGATCCCATAACACGACTGACCGTTGGTCTATTATCTGACGTGATCGTGCATTAAGTCTTTAAACTAATGAGAGAGGACCACATATATGATTAGACGTAGGATCACAGACTAGGACCAGACATAGGACTACACGAGAGGACATAAAATACACAGATGTAGAAAGCCTTAACGTTAAAGTCTCAGCTACAAACAGGCAAACAGCCACTTGTACTAAAACCATGTTCTCTTTATCTCCAGGCGCCAAAGAACCCACTGCCATGGCCCGCTTCTTGCTGCCTCCACTTTCATGTAAACATTTGTACACGATTTGTGCCTTCGCTCTTTTAACCTGGGTTGTCTCCGCCAGCGACCCACTGGACACATCCAACATTGACCACCACCTCAACGTCTTCAGCCACTTCCGGGAACCTTACGACCAGCGCTTGTACGGGATCCTCCACATCGAAGCTGGCGACATTAGCACGTCGTCAATCCAGGTCAAATGGAGCTTAACCAACCGCACGTCGTCAGACAGCAAGATGGAGGCTACTGCACTTTGCGAGACACCCAACGGGAAGATCGTGTCGAACAAGCTGACCAGCTCGACCCGATCGTTCACGTTTGAGCTGCTGAGCTCCAACACGAAGTACCTGGTGTGCGTGTACCTGCTGGAGAAGTCGTCCTCCAGCAACACCAGCATCCTGCACTACAGCTGCGACATCATCAGCACCATCCCGCTCATCCGCGTCGACAGCGTGGTGGGCGTGCTGCTGACCCTGGGGTACATGGGCTCCATGGTCGGCCTGGGGTACGTCGCCTGGAGGAGGAAGGTCCGACAGGTCCGGCTGCAGGAGGAGAAGCTTCTGGAGGAGGAGGAGGAGAGGGAGGTGTACCCGAGCAAGGGGCAGCTGGGGGTGTATGAGGGCGCGGACGGGGCGTCGATGAAGATGAGGGCGGGGTGCAGCGGGAGCACGAGCTGCATCAAGGGGGAGAAGGAGGAGATGATCCACTATGACGCCAAGAGCCGGGAGATTTCCTTCTAGAGGAGGGATGGGGGCAACCATGTGGGCTTAGAGCAACTATGGGGGCTTACGGCAACATGATGTGGGCTTAGGTCAGTGTGATGTGGGCTTACGGCAACATGATGTGGGCTTAGGTCAGTGTGATGTGGGCTTACGGCAACATGATGTGGGCTTAGGTCAGTGTGATGTGGGCTTACGGAAACATGATGTGGGCTTAGGTCAGTGTGATGTGGGCTTACGGCAACATGATGTGGGCTTAGGTCAGTGTGATGTGGGCTTACGGCAACATGATGTGGGCTTAGGTCAGTGTGATGTGGGCTTACGGCAACATGATGTGGGCTTAGGTCAGTGTGATGTGGGCTTACGGCAACATGATGTGGGCTTAGGTCAGTGTGGTGAGGGCTTAGGGCAACCATGGGGGCTTAGGGCAACATGATGTGGGCTTAGGTCAGTGTGATGTGGGCTTAGGGCAACCATGGGGGCTTAGGGCAACAATTGGGGCTAAGGGCAATACGTTGTGGGCTTAGATCAGTGTAGGGCAATATATTGGGGCTTTAGCGAAAAATAATGGGCGCTTATGTCAACATAATGGGGACTTAATCCAATCTAATGGGGGCTTACGGTAATGTAATTGGGCTTTAGCGCAATATAACGGGAGCGTAGGCCAATATTTAGGAGAAAATTGATTGATTGTAGAATGTTAAACACAGGTTTAACACTGAACAATCACACTGAAACATTGAGTTGCAGACGACCAATAATAACACGGACTTGCTATTGATAAAACCATGAATTCTAGCACTCTGGGAACCAACGTATGCCGAATGACGACATTAGGATTCTAACGAACTGTGCCGCACTAAAGGTTTAGCCGTTAAACGCTTAGCCCAGCCTTGACCTTCTTTTACTCACAGGGTACGACTGGCCAATCAGGGCTTAACTATCCCCTCGGGGCCATCGATCTACACCGGGCATGCTGGGATCGCATTTCGGCTGGGCGTGGGGAAGCTCAGGGTTGTGGTGAGTGAGGGGAAAATTAAACTTCTGGTCAGGACCCAGTCAACATCAAGGTTATATTTTTATCAACAACAGCCAACATCAAGGTTATATTATATCAATAGTCAACATCAAGGTTATATTCTATCAACAGTCAACAGTTTATCAATAAACTTTCAACATCTCAACATCATATTATACCCTAACATCCAATCAACATCAGCCATCAAACATATAGTCAACATACGGCCCATATTCAGAGATTGTGTTATGTAACTCTTCATGAAGACAATCAGCAGAGACCATGTTTTTGTTTATAAACATTTCTGCGCCAACTGAATTGCTCTAACATTGTTTATTTGCTTGTTGTCTTAGGTAGTAGTTAGCCTGTCGTACCACTAGGACATAGTCCTGTCGTCTCACTAGGACATAGTCCTGTCGTATCACTAGGACATAGTCCTGTCGTCTCACTAGGACATAGTCCTGTCGTCTCACTAGGACATAGTCCTGTCGTCCCACTAGGACATAGTCCTGTCGTCCCACTAGGACATAGTCCTGTCGTCCCACTAGGACATAGTCCTGTCGTCCCACTAGGACATTGACCTGTCGTCCTAACAGGACATGTCTGTCCTCTCATCAGGACATAAGCTGCCGACAAGAACCTCACAAACAACTATGTCCTGGACTAGTTTCCTTAATGATAACCAACCTTTCATATAGCACTCTCCAATGTTATAGTGTTTCTTTCAGGCATTTTTCCGGGTGGGAAGGGGTGTGGGCTGGAGGGAGGGGGGGGGTGGCACCACCTTAGACAAAGTAAAAAAAAATATATATGCTTTAATCATTAACCAGTGTCCATCCCCACTTCGAAGTTTTAATCCCCCAACCCGCTCCCTATGAGAAAAATGTCTGAAAGAAACCCTAGTTATACCATGGGTAGCGTTAGGCTAACCTATCGTCTGGAACTTTTTAAGCACCAGAAGTTTCGATTTCTGAACTTTTCAGAAATTTGGAATTTCGTTCCAGAATTTTCTTTTTACTGCCATCTAGTGTCAGTCTTTGTAATGTTAGATGAACTCACTGGGAATTCTGTTCTCGCTCCAATAATTATTGCAAATGTTTAAATACCAAATATTACCGGAGACATTCCAGTATTTACTTTAATTACAATGTCCGTAAAGATTTTAGAATGTCGAATTATTATAGTCAGGTCTAATTAGTTCAGAATGGTCTAATTTATTTTGCTTGGATTTATTTTTTTAATTACATTAATTATTTTTTTAAGGTAACATTAGTTGTTTAGTTACATTGTATTTGAGTGATACTTTTTTGTTTCATTTTGTTTTTCATTTGTGACCATACATTATTTTATTTTGTACAGCCACAAATAGTGTGATAAGAAATATTGTTATGTACAGCTGCTTCAGATTGTAGAGATCGCTGTAACTAGATCTAATTGTTTAAACAATTTTTAAAAAAAATACAGTTTTTCAAAACTTTATCTCGTTTGTGTTAATCTCGTTTGTATTATATTAATCTCTTTTGTGTTAATCTCGTCTGTGTTAATCTCGTTTGTGTTAATCTCGTTTGTGTTAATCTCGTGTGTGTTAATCTCGTTTGTGTTCATCTCGTTTGTGTTAATCTCGTTTGTGTTAATCTCGTGTGTGTTAATCTCGTTTGTGTTAATCTCGTTTGTGTTAATCTCGTGTGTGTTAATCTCATTTGTGTTAAATCTCGTTTGTGTTAATCTCGTTTCTTTTAATCTCGTTTGTGTTAATCTCGTGTGTATTAGTTAATTCAAACTGGCCACGACTTGGTCACTAATCTACATCTCAGAAAATCTGGCACCCCCAGCACTGACAGCCCCAAAATCGAGCAGTGACAACCCTTAAAGACTGACAACCCCAGGGTTTACTCACCCGCCACCCCCCCCCCCCCCGCTCCCCTTTGACAACGCCCACACTGGTATCCCTAACACTAACATTCCCAATACTTGACAACCCCATCACTAACCCCCACCAAAAACCTCAAACACACCACAGACAACCTCGTGGTTGACGACCAACCCGGCCAACCCCTGTGCCGGGTAATTAAAATTCTGGTTCTCTCCCCTGACAGGATGGACGGAAATCTCCTTGAGAAAATGCCGGTCTGCATTTTGTCAAGATATTGGAAACTCCCCCCCCCCTCCCATCAACTCTTTTGTGTTGCATTTCTTATTTGTATTCGCCTTATCTCGGAAAGTAATATAAGCGTTGAAGTTTGCCAGCCCGCCCCTTCAAGCTAGTCGACGTCACAGAAAAATCAATTCTGTAGACATATTTCTTACAGCTTTTTTTTTTGTTGTGTCTACACTTCCCCAACCACCCCTCCCCCCTACTCCCCCCCCCCCCTGTTTACCATTACCCAGTTTACCCAAGCTGAATCTATCGCCTAACGTCTTTTCTGTGTGCATTCTTACCAAATGGGCCACGAGGAGCGATAACTCATAACGCCAAACTTCTCACCATAGAACTGGCCGTAAGTTATCTCCCCATATACAATAGACCGGGGAAAAGGAGATGTCGGTTTGGGTAAGGTTGTATTGAGAAATGGGGCTGAAGGTCACGTTTGTGGTCTAGTTGTGGTCAGTTGGTGGTCTAGCTGTGGTCAGTTGGTGGTCTAGCTGTGGTCAGTTAGTGGTCTAGTTGTGGTCAGTTGGTGGTCTAGTTGTGGTCAGTTGGTGGTCTAGCCGTGGTCAGTTGGTGGTCTAGTTGTGGTCAGTTGGTGGTCTGGTCTAGCTGTGGTCAGTTGGTGGTCTGGTCTAGCTGTGGTCAGTTGGTGGTCTAGCCGTGGTCAGTTGGTGGTCTCGTTGTGGTCAGTTGGTGGTCTAGTCGTGGTCAGTTGGTGGTCTAGCCGTGGTTAGTTGGTGGTCTAGTCGTGGTCAGTTGGTGGTCTAGTCGTGGTCAGTTGGTGGTCTAGTCGTGGTCAGTTGGTGGATTGGTCTAGTTGTGGTTAGTTGGTGGTCTGGTCTAGCTGTGGTCAGTTGGTGGTCTAGTCGTGGTCAGTTGGTGGTCTGGTCTAACCGTGGTTAGTTGGTGGTCTGGTCTAGCTGTGGTCAGTTGGTGGTCTAGCCATATTCACATGTTCATAAGGTCCTGTCCTGGTCACATATGACCTTTTTTTGTCACATGATACTGGTGTGGGTTATCTAAGTGGCTGCTAGTTTGTTTTACTGTTAAGGTTATCACGTGTTTTGTCCACTTTACTTTTAGGTGAGCTATCAATTGTGTAGTTAAAAAAAACCCACTGCATTATGATACGCTGTTGAGTAATTTACAGAATGGGGAGGTGGGGGGGGTGGGCACACCGCGCCTTATCTTGACATATAGATCCCCACTCCAGGACACATTGACCCATAGATCCCTACACTAGGACACCTTGACCCTATAGATCCCCACCCTAGGACACCTTGACCCTATAGATCCCTACACTAGGACAGCTGGACCCTATAGATCCCCATCCTAGGACACCTTGACCCATAGATCCCCTCCTGTGGACGTGTTCAATAACTCTGGCCTATGTAGTGTGAGATAAAGGACACATGGAAACTGGACTGACCGCGTTTCTTAAAGTTAGATGCGCGTTCTGTTTGCCTTCACTATCTTTTAGTGTTAGAATATGGGGCATTGTTTTATTTAAAAAAAAAACATTATTAAATGAGTGTAATTATGCGATGGCTTCTTATATTTATGCTAAAACCATGCATGCTAATAAGTGATATTAATCACATCTTAAATTTGCATTATGAATGTCATTATCAAGTTTCAGCTGTAAAATAGATTAAAAAACGTTTCGATGGTGTGGTTAGTGTGGTCTAGTTATACAAGATACAGAGATAGCTCAGAGTTTACCCCCCCCCCTCCCTCCCACAATATCAGACGTCATAATTTCACTGAAAAAAAAACCTACCATTTTCATACATGCAGTTAGGGCTAGATTGCTGGGGACAGCAACTCATAAAGGAGAGACAACTCTAAAATCAAACAACTGCTGCCCTGTAGCTTTCTCTTACATGGACAAATGCTATGGAAGCAAATCCAGAAAGGAAAGCAGGCTGAAATCGGAGTCAACGAGCCATATGGTGCATTACATGTTGACACGCATTGTAATAAAAAAACAAAGAAAAAAGACGAAGGAGAGAAACAAACATATAACCATCTGCCAGTTGAGAGGTCTGGCGTTACAGATCAAGATACAACCGTATAAAATAGAATTGTTGACTTCCAGATAATTACAGTGTAAAACAGAAATGTTGACATCAAGACACACTAACAACGAGTTGACATCAACATATTAAACACTAACAACGAAATGGTGACATCAAAATATTACACGTTAACAACGAATTGACATTAAGAAACTACACGCCAACAACGAAAGTCGAAATTTTGCTGACATTCTCTGCTAGATGAGGCAGAAATTTCCGTTGTGATTAGCCGGCAGCTGTTTGCTAAATCTGGACAAATGACCCCAGTCTGACCTTTGACTTTTGATTGGGTCGAGGACATCTCTCTGTCCGTGAGTTTACTGTTACAGTTTACCTATTATTTGCTTATGTGGTTAAAGTAGACACACAAATTAATCGATAAATTGAGAGAAATCTTTGGTGGTAGATATCGAAATGTGGATGGAGTGGCTAGTTTGTGAGCTTATGTTACCTTGGTATAGTTAGTGCAGACATTCGACTAGGTCGTATCGGTGTCTCTATGTTTCAGATTGACAATTTTGCGTCTATGTTAAATTAGTATCTCTATCAAATTGACAATTTAATGTAGTCTTCTAAAAAAGTTTTCCAGCTTTGTTGAAGATTTATAGAAGGAAATTAATAATTTTATTACTTCCGGTGTTTTATACAACAACTATATGCATATGGACTTAGTTGGACAAGGCCAAAGTTACAACGACTGTTTTAAAAGACGCGAATATTTAAAGTTTAGTCGTCACCAGTTCGAATGTTAGGTCGGTAGGTTGGTAGGTTGGTAGGTTGGTAGGTAGGTTGGTAGTTGGTAGGTAGGTGGGTAGATAGGTTGGTAGGTCGGTAGGTTGGTAGGTAGGTTGGTCACAGGCATTTATTTTATTCCAAGGTCAGCCTAGACAGACAGACCTCTCCCCTCAGTCCACCGCTGCAGGCAAGTTAATTTTTTACATGTACGTGTCCATAAAAGATGTCAGCGTTTGTAATCTGAACATTTATACCGAGCATTAAAGTCTTTGCCGCGATTATGTATGACACAATCATTCGTGCATGTCTGTATGATACAGCCTATCTGCGTATAAATGTGTACAACCATATGTATATGTACACATCTATGTACGCGACAACTGCGCATATCGGAAAGATTTTAAACCATCTAGTCTTGACTGTGTACACAAAAACTATCTGCGCGTGTATGTGTACAATACAATCATATGCGCATGTCTGTGTACACGATATCTGTCTGCACATGTTAGTGTACACTAAAACTGTCTGCGCATGTCTGTGTACACGGTATCTGTCTGCGCATGTCTGTGTACACGATATCTGTCTGCGCATGTCTGTGTACACGATATCTGTCTGCGCATGTCTGTGTACACGATATTTGTCTGCGCATGTCTGTGTACACGATATCTGTCTGCGCATGTCTGTGTACACCACATCCATCTGTGGGCATGTCTGTACTATGCCTCTGTCGGCTGATTTACAATGCTAAACAGTGGGCGTACACACGTTTGCTAATTTACACAAAAATTGTGTTTAGTTATAAGCGATACCCGCATCTTGATTATATTGTCCTCTCAAATCTTTATTAATCTCATGTGTTGTTATTTCCCCTGTTTTAAGCATACCACCTTATCTTCTTGCTACACGCCCATATGGGCGGCATGTTTATGTGTGTACTATATGTGCACATCCACGTCAATATGTTGTGCACCTTGTCATCACGTCTGACATCAAACAACATCACGTGACCACGTGTGACAGTTCATCCAGAACAAACAGCCCGCAGTAAATATGAATATTCCGGGCTCAAAAAATAACAGAGTTGTCGCTCTTCTGACAAGTTCTGTTCACTCATTCTATTTTTAGCCTGGGTCGTCAGACCAACCCTTTGGAGATTATAAATGCGAACTTCGTCCATTAGTCCCAGCACTTTTCGCGTGTTTGGTTAGAAGATGCAGTTTTGATTAGATTAAAAATTTTAAATTAGAATAAATAAAATATTTATTTCATTTTTTAAAAACCTCATTAGGACGAATACGTTTTCAATTAAGGTGAGTAAATCCATCCAAGAAAATTATGCGCGATTTTTTAAAAAACCTTTAAGAAATAACAAATGTTGAAAGTATATGGTGCTTTTAGTTTTTGAAAAATAATGTGCTTTCTTTTAAAATTCTGTAAATTATGGACAATATATTTCTATGCTGTTGAAATAATTCACGCTCCTGCAGAAATTTTATCGTTTGGCCTCTTTTTTGGCCTTGGTTTTTTTCTTTGGTCTTTCTTTTTGGGACTTATGGCCACCAACTTTATGTGATTTCTATTTAGTGTGGTTTTTCGACTACACTTCTTTTCGTGACTTTCGGCCTTTTTTTCTCAATGGGATCTTTGGTCTCATGTTTTATGTGGATCTTTGGACCCCTCCTTTTTGAGATCTTTGAACCCTCCCTTTTTGAGATCTTTGAACCCTCCCTTTTTGAGATATTTGAACCCTCCCTTTTTGGGATCTTTGGACCCCTCTTTTTGGGATCTTTGGACCCCTCCTTTTTGGGATCTTTGGACCCCTCCTTTTTGGGATCTTTGGCCACCTATTATGTAGATCTTTATCAGATAATTTTTAAAGAAATAGAACCACCGTTTATGGATATCTGTGATCTTCCGCCATTTTTGGGTATTTTCGTGACAGTCTTTAACTATTGTGATATCTCGCCACACTCCCACCAAATGCAGCCGGCATATCCGGAAAGGGAAATCGATCACTTATTTACGACTCTGAGAGAGATTGACAATCAAGTTATTTGAAATTAGTAGACTTAATTTAAAAAAATATTTTATAAGACCTAATTAATTATAGTTATCCTGTGATTGCGTTGATATCTTTCATATGCCGGTTAGTATTTTTGGGCGTGCAATGGATGGGGGCTGGGTCAGCGCGACCCACTAGATCTATATTGAGATCATACATGCGGTCATGTATGACTTTACATACTCCATTTCCTGGCAGTGTTAGCTCCAGAGCTCTTCATAGATGATGATCTTAACTCTAACCCAAACACATGTTTCATCTACTAAATGGTCCTAACCCGATCATATATTTTATCAATCAGTGTTTCTTCCAGGCATCTCGTCTTCCACCCCCTCCCCCTCCTACGAAATTGAAATTAATATAGAAAATACATACTTTTACCAGTATCCGCCCACTCCGGAAAATTTTGTCCGCCCCCCCTGGAAATATCAAGGGCCCCTCCGGAGAAAAAAGTCTGGAAGAAACACTGTTATCAACATGATCCCAATTCTAACATAATTATATTTCTTCTATACGACCCAAACTAAAACTGTAACATATATTTTACCCACATGACCCTAACTCTATCCCAACCACATATTTCATCCACTACGTTTTTACCTTTCACTAAAGTGCATTTCTTGTACCGACCCTCATACCGAAGTTTTATAATTTACTGTGTTTTTATTTGTTGTTGTGTTTTTCTCTGATACGCATCACTGCAAAGAGGAAACTTGACAGCGCCATACATTCTAATCCAGCAATTTGTACCGGTAGATTTTATTCATAAATCTTGTTACAAGTTCGAGTCTTTTTGTCAAATTAAGAAAATTGTCATTCTAGCAAAACGTTGAAACTTGTCAGTCTAACAAAAATGTGTCAGTTCAGCATGAATTAGTAGATTAATAGACTGAGTTAATATTCCAATATTTGAATGGTGCGTGAGGCTTCACTCCATACCCAACAGTCAATGATTCTTCCAGGCTTTTTTCTCCGGGGGGTGGGGGGGGGGGGGTCACTTGAACTTTTCGGGAGAGTTGGGGGGGGGGGGGGGAGGGGAAGGGAGCGACACACTGGTAAAACTATATGTTTTCTGTATAAATTCCATTTCGAAGAGATGCCTAGAAGAAACTCTGCCAACAGTTCAGACTGTATTAGAAAATTTAGCCGGAACTTGACAATAATATACTTTTATGTGCTGGTGTGCCTTTTAAACAGTGCCATGGTGTATAATTAGGGCTGTCACAAACTACTAAACTATAGACACCTTCCCGGGGACAAATTTTCGATTTGCACCCCCCCCCCTCAAGTTTTTCTCTATATATTTTGCTATTTTGTTCCTTGGTGTCACCCCTCTAAATGGTGTCACCCGGTGCGGTCCGCACCCCCGTCCTCCCCCTTCGCTACGCCTCTGCTATAGACACCAATATTATGGTGTATTGAGTAAGGCCAGTCTCAACACAAACTATAGCCACCAATCTTACGGTGTATTGAGTTATGAGATTCTCAAGCGATGAACCCGCCATCTTTACGTAATGGAGCCCCATGTCTCGAGAGAGCACTAAAATACATCTTATACAGCCTGGAACATTCTCTCGCTATTTGCACCATTCTGAGACGGAAATCAAACAAACGCCATAAAAAGGAAATTACTGTCTGTGGTTCTTGTTGGCATGGAGACAAAACTTTAGCAAGATCACCATGACACGTTTACTTGCCTTCCATATGCTAGGTACTCGTTAGACCTGAGCTGGTCAGTGAAGTGTTTGAGATCTAAGCTGCCGTAGTGTATAAAGACACAATAGAGGATGGTTTAGCATGGAGGCGCTGGTTTGTTAACTTCTTCACAGGACACCTTCATTATGGTGTTCTACAGCAGACACCATTCCATGAGCAAGTGCGCCGTGATACCAAAACACCGTATGACGTCACATGAATGCTTTAATGTCGCGTGAATACGTCGCGTGAGGCGCCACGAGCGACACTTCTGACGTCATTGGCTGACAGTTCAACGTGTGGATGGTAGCAGCAGTTAAAAGAGAAAGTCACAAACTGACAGGGAGTTTGTTTTATGGCCATGTAACACTCTAGTGGGGGAGGGCGAAGTAGTAGGCGTCTGTAGTAAAACGTAGTAGGTCGGGGTCAATAGAGGCAGATGAAGCTTAAAACACTTTGAGAAATTTCTTTCCGAGTAATTATAAGAATAATTGGTCCAACTCATTTGATGAAGGAATGTAAAATAAATATGTGTTAGAACGAATAACAGTCGCGTAGAGAGGGATATGTCGTGGAAGGAGGGTTTTACACTTGTTCCATATATCAATGCAAGAAAGTACCACTGTGTGTGTTTTTGTGGAATATTTTACAACTTTTAAAACTGACGAAAGGTGAGGTAAACATTGCTGAAGAATGTCAACAACACAGCTCGTCAGCCGACGTAAACAAAGTCAACATACTAGAACGTCAACAACACCCAACGATCATGTTTATCTTGACGTCAACATCACCCAACGATCATGTTCATCTTGACGTCAACATCACCCAACGATCATGTTTATCTTGACGTCAACATCACACAACGATCATGTTTATCTTGACGTCAACATCACCCAACGATCATGTATATCTTGACGTCAACATCACCCAACGATCATGTTTATCTTGACGTCAACATCACCCAACGATCATGTATATCTTGACGTCAACATCACCCAACGAGCATGTTTATCTTGACGTCAACATCACCCAACGATCATGTTTATCTTGACGTCAACATCACCCAACGATCATGTATATCTTGACGTCAACATCACCCAACGAGCATGTTTATCTTGACGTCAACATCACCCAACGAGCATGTTTATCTTGACGTCAACATCACCCAACGAGCATGTTTATCTTGACGTCAACATCACCCAACGATCATGTTTATCTTGACGTCAACATCACCCAACGAGCATGTTTATCTTGACGTCAACTAATTTTATAGTGAACTTAAGCTTTTCCAGTTTGACATTTAACCTCTCATCCCCCTCCCCTCCCCACCCAGCACCAGCTTAAGGTACATTTGGTACACATTTTTGAAAAAATTCCATTTCTTACATTTTAAAAGTTTCGATTTGCTATTTTTGAAATTTGCATTTTCATTTTTGCTAATTCAACATAACCAGAGAATATATTATTACTCATCATTTTCGCTGTTTTACGGTAGTTGTTTTTCGCTGTTTTACGGTAGTTGCTTTTTTTTCTGCTTTATGGTAGTTAATGTTGATTGTATTACGGCTGTAATTTTTATCTTTAATGTATATTATATTTATTTTATTAGCGGCAATTCTCACTGTTTTAATGGCCGTTGTTTTTGCCCGTTTAACAGTCGATTTTTGCCTTTTTTTAACGTCTATTTTTTGCCAGTTTAACGGCTGCTGTTTACATCTTTACATGTTACTGTTAAACCTGTCAACAGGCAAGATGACAACCAGTCTAAAATCTTCTTAAAGTTATGCAGCGTCTTGACGTAATAGCACGTAAAAAAAAAAAGAGTTGTCCCCCTTCGTACAGGTTACCTATTTATCCGCCCCTAGTTTCTCTTTCCGTAGTGTAGCCTTCTAAGTGCGATAATCCAGCACATCAGCAACTACCTCAGGCCAGCTAAACACAAATAAGCAAATAAAGTCGGGATTATCTGCCCCTACTTTGGCGTGCCTGACAACCAAGAATTTTTTACCTCGACGTTTTGACGAATAGCCAGGTTTTTTGGTCGTTGGTATGCAAAAATTTTTACTTTGGTTTTTCGTGTAGCTGTTTGGTTGATCGTGATTATGTGTGGATAATCCTTGCAGGAGTTTGCAAATTAGATTCAGATTAGGGTCTTTTGAATGTTTTAATTTTAATAAATAATTCTTAAAGTTACACATACCTTTAAAAGCTTTGGACATTATTTTTAAAATCTTGATATCACGAGACTTGCGGGAAAAAAAACCTAAAAAAAAAAAAAAAAAAAAAAAATAATTTGAAAATAAAACAATGTGTGTAATTATATGAGTTTATTACTATTTGTTAACCCACTGAAAGTTTATATCAAAAAGTTCAGGGAAAAAATGTTTCTAGTAAATTTTATGTACGGAAATCTACTTATCCTTTTTAAATCACTTTAATGCCCTTAAAGATCTTGTACCCAGATTTGGCAGCCAAAAAACGCTGGCCAAATCCGGGACTGCCCCACATTTGTCCTGATGTCCTATAGGACAGATGGTAGAAAACACACCTGCTTTATAATTTCAGCATTTAGGAATATGTCCAGCTGTCTTTTTTTTCCATTTCTTGAGTCAGGTACCCGACAGGGCTGGGTGGACTCAGAGGCACCTCAAGGACTCCATAACGGTAATTGAACACGAGAATTTTGGGTTAACATCCGCGTGTTCTACCACACAACCACACCATCCAATGTGAACTGTGGCTGTAAAAATACGTGGACTCTACTTCACCTGCTGTTTTTTCTCCCTCTAATGACCAAGTTACCCCATCCCATTTATCGTCTTTAGTTAGCTCCCCTTGACCAGTGTTTCTTCCAGACTTTTTTCTCCGTGGGGCACTTGAAATTTTCGGGGGGGGGGGGGGGGGGCGCGGTAGACTTTCTTCGGGGGGGGGGGGGGGGCGGACACTGTTAAAAGTGTATATTTTCTATATAAATTATATGTTTCATTTCGTTCGGGGGGGGGGGGGGGGGAAGAGATGCCTGGAAGAAACTGCCCTTGACTATATGTAATTCCCAACTTTTGACAAATCTATGCAGGAACAGCTTTCCACCTGGGATTAGATCCTGCAACATGCTGAGTACGTCCCAACTGCTGTACAGCCTGTCGGCTGTCGTGTTTGCTGGTGTATGGGCGGGGCCTACGCTGAACGTCGTCGACCTGAACACGCCCACTCTGCAGAAGTTGTACGGGACACAGAGGAACCGGAAGGAGTTCAAACTCTGCCGGATATTCAAGTGTCTGTACGTGGAGATGGTGAGTGGTGACCTGTACACAGTAGTGACCTGTACACAGTGGTGACCTGTACACAGTGGTGACCTGTACACAGTGGTGACCTGTACACAGTGGTGAGCTGTCAGTGGTGACATGTACACAGTGGTGACCTGTACACACTGGTGACCTGTACACACTGGTGAACTTTACGAACTGGTGACCTGTACAAACTGGTGACCTGTACAAACTGTTGACCTGTACAAACTGGTGACCTATACACAGTGGTGATCTGTATACAGTGGTGACATGTACACACTGGTGACATGTACACACTGGTGACCTGTACAAACTGTTGACATATACAAACTGGTCACCTGTACACAGTGGTGACCTGTACACACTGGTGACATGTACACACTGGTGACCTGTACACAGTGGTGACCTGTACACAGGGGTGACATTTACACAGTGGTGACCTGTACACAGTGGTGACCTGTATACAGTGGTGACATCTGGTGACACACTTGGTATTCGAAGTACGGACTCGCAGGAATGACTTGATTCTAGAGACCGAATATGACTTGATTCTAGAGACCGAATATGACTTGATTCTAGACACCGAATGTGACTTGATTCTAGACATCGAATGTGACTTGATTCTAGACACCGAATGTGACTTGATTCTAGACACAGAATACGACTTGATTCTAAAGACCGAATATGACTTTAACATAGAAACGGAATATTTATCGATTCTAGACACGTAACAGAAGATACTGAAATATAACCTTATTGTAAATTTTGAAAATAACTTTGTTTGAGGTAAGCGCCTTTTTGAACACACAAAAACGGCTTTACTCTAGGGAGGAAAATGCCATTATTGCAGGGAGATAACTCTATCCCAGATATCAAAATTGACATCATAAATTCCGAAAATGGATCTATTTGTAACAGTTCCGTCACAATGTAATTTTGCACTGAGAGTAATTTTTGCGTTGAGAGTTCTTGTCCTGCTTATCTCCCCTTGATTTTTTTTCTTGTCACATCTGACATTAGGTTTTTAACTCCCCTGACAATCCCAGTAATGAGGTGCTGTAGGTCTGTTTCAGATGTCTTTGACTGATACAGAGCCTTGACTTATCCCCCCTGATCTCCAAGGAGATAAATGACACGATTTAGTCCTTATCTGATGAGCACTACAACTGCTGACGTCACGACGACTTAACTCCCTGTAACCTACAAATGAGCATTCAGCTCGGCTCAATCCGGTAAGTCTAGTGACTTACTTCCCCTTATCCCCTGGACTATTGACTTACCTCCCCTCCAGTCTGACGGCTTATCGCCCCTGTCCCCCAGGGTTGTGCCGACCTGCCCCTCAAGCAGGATGACGATTTGTGCCGGGGGAAGCTGTACGAGTCTCTCAAGATGGCCGACAGCCGCACGTGTCCATGGCGACGTAAGTAAACAATCAACTCGCCCCTTGTTTCGATTTGTTTTTACTTCATCATTGAAGGTTTGGAGAGTAGTGAAAATACGGGGGAGGGGGGGGGGTTAGATTTGGTTGAATGGTGGCGATTCGATGTTTGAAATAGAGGCGATTTGTTATTCGAAGGGGAGGCAATTCTTTTTTCGAAGTGGAGTCTATTCGCAGTTTGTCAAAGTTATGATGGATTTTAAAAATGAGTAATAAAAGACAAAGAAGACGTTCTCAAGATAGGTTGTTGGCAAGGTGACAAATTCTCTCAAATTCAGATTCCCACTTTTTCGGTTGTCAGTTGGCACCTAGAGTCATCGTTTGTATGATGGTATTTGGGATGAGAAGAAGATGGAGGGTTTGCGTTCAGGGACAATTCTAGGTTAAGATCTGTAAAAACCCTTGTGGTCTTGAAAACCTGGTTTTTGAGTGCTTTTAAAAATGTCTTTAAAATGTTTTTTAATTAGCTGTCATACATAATTGACGTATTCCTACTTAAATACTTTGATAAGCTAACATTTTAAATTAGCTTCGATTATTAATTAGCTGCAGTTTTTACTTAGCTGACATGTTTAATTAGCCGCCATTTTTAATTAGATGCTGTAATTAATTAGTTCCTATTATAAATTAACGACCATTATTAATTTACTATCATTATTAATTAGCTATCATTATTAATTAGCTGCAATTTTTAATTAATCTCCATTATTAATTAGCGGTCATTATTAATTAGTTGTCATTATTAATTAGTGGTCATTATTAATTAGCTGCCATTAATTAGCTGCCATCATTAATTAGCCGCCACATTCTTCCAGCCTGTGAGGGGTACGACCAGCCTGAGCACCACTTCTGCCAGCCTGGACCCACCGAGTGTCCCGTGACCGACGTCCCCCACGGGCTGTGTGGGGAGGGGCAACGCTGCTGTTCCACCAAACCCGTTCGTTCACCCGACACGCCCGAATTCGGCGCCACGTTCACCGGCACCCCCCTGACCACCAGCGCCCTAGTTTCGTCCTCCGCCAAGCCCGCATCACCCTCACGGGCGCCGCCCCACCCACCGGCGCCCCACGAGATAATCAATCCGTCCCTGCAACAGCCGTACGTCCGAGAGAGCACGCCCTACTGTGAGGACTCCAACTACCCCGGCAGGCGGTGTTTGCTGGGCGCCTTCTGCTCGTTTGACCCTGCGGATAAGATGGTGCCCAACCATATATGCAACAACCCTGAAGAGATTTGCTGCGAGTCGACTTTATGAACCTAGCGCCTGGCTCATCTGGTTAGCAAGAAGATGGAGTGCGGTTTTTTCCAACCATTTCATGTGTGTGTTTAACGTTGCGAGATTTATTAGAAGGAAAACATTTGCGCTGTATAATTTTAGGATCCGGTCTGCGACACACAGACACACTGTGACACAATTACAAACAAATGCAATCTTACGTACACGCAAACACACACATATCACACATTCACACGAAAAGACATACACACATAGATACACACACACAAAGAGACACTCACACAAACACACACATACACACACGCACAAACACACATATTCACAGACACACGGGCGCAGACACACACATAGATACATACAGACACACACACAAACACACACATACACCATACACATACAAAGGGACGTATATGTATCGATATAGAAGGGGGTCATCCATAGATGACGTCACATTCCAGGGCAGGGGTCGGACTAATGATGGCGTGTGATGAGAGATTCTAGGGATATACCGACGTGGGTGGAAGCATTGACATTTTTTAGACTGAAGGACCATAACATTGAGAGAAAAAACTTTTCTTTTGTTTTTAGTTCTAGTTAGTGGCGAGGGTGGGGTAGTGGTAGAACTTGCGTCTTCATTTTAAGTGGGTGGGGTGGGTGAAATCCTGCTAATTAAGTCAATCCTTAAAGGTCTTGAAACATTTTTAAAATATTAAAAAATGTGTTTTGCACTTTGTAAAATGTGTAAAATTTTTTTTGATAAACAAAACATAGCTCTGATTTGTATATGTGTGCATATGTGTGTGCGGCGTTGTGTGGTAGGTATAACACAATAGTGTAGCTGTAAGATAGGTATTCTGTCGCTGGGAGTAAATGCAACAAGACCATTAGGATACTTCCTCGAGATTATACGATGCCGAATGTTCATAGAACATTATCGTGATATTAAAACCTGTTGTGGTACTAATGTGGGGGGGGGGGGGGGGGGGGGGGGGGGGCTGTACGTGGTTGTATGTTTAATTTGTTCACACTTCTTGTGTGCTCATACACCACCATGTTTGATTGTGTTTGATTGTGTTTTGACATAAACTTTATGCTGTGCTGTGTATTGATTGGGTGATGGAGATGTAAAAAGACATAAAACATGTTTTTGATGTTTTGTAAATATGTAGTCAAGAGGCGAATTAAAAAATAATTGATGAATCAATTTTTTAGCGTTCTTGCACTGACCACATGTTGCACTGACCACATTCTTGCACTGACCATATTCTTGCACTGACCTCATTCTTGCACTGACCACATTCTTGCACTGACCACATTCTTGCACTGACCACTTAGCCCACATTCTTGCACTGACCACTTGGACCACATTCTTGCACTCACCACATTCTTGCACTGACCACATTCTAGCACAGACCACTTGGACCACATTATTGCACTGACCACATTCTTGCACTGACCACATTCTTGCACTGACCACATTCTTGCACTCACCACATTGTTGCAATGACTACTTGGACCACATTCTTGCACTGACCACATTCTTGCACTGACCACATTCTTGCACTGACCACATTCTTGCACTGACCACATTCTTGCACTCACCACATTGTTGCAATGACCACTTGGACCACATTCTTGCACTGACCACATTCTTGCACTGACCACATTCTTGCACTGACCACATTCTTGCACTGACCACTTAGCCCACATTCTTGCACTGACCACTTAGCCCACATTCTTGCACTGACCACTTGGACCACATTCCTGCACTCACCACATTCTTGCACTGACCACATTCTAGCACAGACCACTTGGACCACATTATTGCACTGACCACATTCTTGCACTGACCACATTCTTGCACTCACCACATTCTTGCACTCACCACATTGTTGCAATGACCACTTGGACCACATTCTTGCACTGACCACATTCTTGCACAGACCACATTCTTGCACAGACCACATTCTTGCACTCACCACATTCTTGCACTCACCACATTCTTGCACTGACCACATTCTAGCACAGACCACTTGGACCACATTATTGCACTGACCACATTCTTGCACTGACCACATTCTTGCACTGACCACATTCTTGCACTGACCACATTCTTGCACTCACCACATTGTTGCAATGACCACTTGGACCACATTATTGCACTGACCACATTCTTGCACTGACCACATTCTTGCACTGACCACATTCTTGCACTCACCACATTGTTGCAATGACCACTTGGACCACATTCTTGCACTGACCACATTCTTGCACTGACCACATTCTTGCACTGACCACATTCTTGCACTGACCACTTAGCCCACATTCTTGCACTGACCACTTAGCCCACATTCTTGCACTGACCACTTGGACCACATTCTTGCACTCACCACATTCTTGCACTGACCACATTCTAGCACAGACCACTTGGACCACATTATTGCACTGACCACATTCTTGCACTGACCACATTCTTGCACTGACCACATTCTTGCACTCACCACATTCTTGCACTGACCACATTCTAGCACAGACCACTTGGACCACATTATTGCACTGACCACATTCTTGCACTGACAACATTCTTGCACTGACCACATTCTTGCACTCACCACATTGTTGCAATGACCACTTGGACCACATTATTGCACTGACCACATTCTTGCACTGACCACATTCTTGCACTGACCACATTCTTTCACTCACCACATTGTGTTGCAATGACCACTTGGACCACATTCTTGCACTGACCACATTCTTGCACAGACCACATTCTTGCACCGAACACATTCTAGCACAGACCACTTGGACCACATTATTGCACTGACCACATTCTTGCACTGACCACATTCTTGCACTGACCACATCCTTGCACTGAGCCCATTCTTGCACAGACCACATTCTTGCACTGACCACTTGGACCACATTCTTGCACTGACCACATTCTTGCACTGACCACACTCTTGCGCTCACCACATTGTTGCGATGACCACTTGGACCACATTCTTGCTCTGAGAACATTCTTGCACTGACCACATCCTTGCACTGACCACATTCTTGCACTGACCACATGCTTGCACTGAGCCTATTCTTGCACTGACCACATTCTTGCACTGACCACGTCCTTGCACTGACCAAATTCTTGCACTAACCACTTGGACCACATTCTCGCAACAATCCCCCGTGCCACGGTGTGTCTAGTCCTGGTCAACACTGGGAGCATGTCTGTCAACGTGTTCTAATCGGATCAGGGGTCAGAGTTCACCTGGCCACGGGTCACAGGGCAGCCGTGTTTGGCCAGGCCAGGTATAAGGGACTCAACACGCACGGCCGGGGCCACTCGACGCCACGTGTTGTTCCGTCTGTCACGGTGTCGTCTGGCAAGGATGCCGGTCGGTCATGAGTCACGGCACCAGCAAGGATTTCTGTAAGAAAGAGAATTATGTAGTAAAACAGTAACGTAACATAGCTGAGTGAAACAAACATTGTTCTTATATCTAAACCTAAGTTGGAAAGTTTCCTACCCCGTCAGCAAGTCAAATGGATGTTTTGTCATGGATGGTAAGAATTTCTGTGTACATTTCATGTTGTCGGTATTTTAATATTTTTTCTTTAGTCTTTTAACCAAATTTGAAAATATGCAATATTATTTTTCATATCAACATTCAGAAAATACACTAAAGTTAACATTCACAATTAATATGGTTAAGTTCCTTTCGAACCTGAGTGTCCATGAGACAAGAGAAATAGAATTCATCAGTTTCTGTGACCTCGGCATATACCCAGCCGCCTTTACTTTCCCTACGTGAGTTGGGTACCCATCAGAGCTGGGTGGACTCAGGGACATTCTATTGACTTGAACTCGGATTAAAACTCGGGATTCGAGAAAAAATATTGAACATTCCGTCGGACAATATACTAATCTTAATACCTCCGACAATAACATTCCCCAGTCAACAAACTTATGTTAACGCTTCCCACCCAAGACAAAAATATATTAATGTTTACATTCCCCAGACAACAATTCTAACATTCCTGTGACATGGAAATTAACGTTAACATTCCCCAATAACAAACTAACGTTAACATCCCCCCAATAACAAACTAATGTTAACATTTCCCCAATAACAAAATTAATGCTAACATTCCCTTGACAACAAAATTATTGTTAACATTCCCTTGACAACAAAATTATTGTTAACATTCCCCAGACAACGTTGTCCGTGTGGTTAGCCTTCAGCAGCACAGTTTTGTTGCTGACCTCCCGAGTGTCGTTGCTATGGTTACTGCGCCTGTACAAATACGAACAGATACATCCGGTCACGTGGTAAGTCTCTGCCCTTATCTTTTTACTTGACGTCCTTATGAGTTGTTTCTTGGTCACATAGTAATGTGACTGTGTTGTTAAGGGGTAAAGCACTCGACGACTGGTCAGAAACTTTCAAGTTCAGTGCCTGCACTGGAGTTCCAAGGACCTCACTGAGTCAGTTCAGCTGTAATAGGTACCTGGCTAGAGTCGGGGGAAATGCAGGCAGCTGTGCATAGTGGTGACCACACAACACCTTCAGAGAGTCGAACAAACAGAAGAACTCTACTTCACCTATCTTATTGACGGTCGGGTCTGAAGGCGGCACTAAAACATGTAAAGATTCTAGCGACCGTGCACGTATAAAGTATCTTCCAAGAGTACTCTACACTCGCCGATTGTTTGTTGTCTCCCCTTAACTCTAAAAACAAAAAACAACCTTCAGTGATTCTGTTTCCGGTCGTGTTTTAATCAGGTATCTGATCATCGCCTTTGTGCTCGGGACCCCCCACCTGACGGAGACGGTCCTGGCATTCTGGGGCACGCCCATCATCAGCGGCGCGCGGGGATGTCGTCTGCCTAGACTCTCACGTGTGATGATGGTAAGTCTTCAAGTCCTAATATTGTTGGATGGCAGGGATGTTAGGGATAGTTGAAATAAGGGATGTTATACAGTGTTGGATGGGATATGAGATGGGATACAAGATGGGATACAAGATGGGATACGGGATAGTATACGGGATGGGATATGGGATGTTCTCCTTTCTCCAGGATCAAATGGGTTGAGAATGCATTGGATGAGGGCTGTCATTCTTATTTCATTCAGCTAACAACCCCCCCCTCCACCCTTGCCAATACTTGACATCCACCAACCACCTTCCATATACCATCTACTCGCCCAATAACTTCCATCCACCATCCACCCACCATGCTACCATCTACCATCCACTCCCCCAATAGCACCCCCGCCCGCATGCCAATAACACCCCTCCACCCCCACCCGCATGCCAATAACACCCCTCCACCACCACCCCCATGCCAATAACACCCCCACCCCCATGCCAATATCACCCCTCCACCACCACCCCCATGCCAATAACACCCCACCCCCATGCCAATAACACTCCCACCCCCATGCCAATAACACCCCCACCCCCATGCCAATAACACCCCCACCCCCATGCCAATAACACCCCCACCCCCATGCCAATAAGACCACCATCCCATGCCAATAACACCACCACCCCCATGCCAATAACACCCCCACCCCCACGCCAATATCACCCCTCCACCACCACCCCCATGCCAATAATACCCCCACCCCATGCCATTAACACACATCCACCCCCTGTCCTGCAGGGTATGATGGCCAGCACGCTTGAGGGTGTAGCTACTGCCGTCTTTGCTACCGAAGTCGCGCATGCGCTACCCGAGCCTGTGCTCACAACACTACCTTATGCGACCCTAACCTTCCTCATCATCAAAGATGTCTACACGAAGGTCGCAGTGAGTAAAAATCAATTATTTTAAAATTATTTTGAAATTCGGAAATACATTAGTTTAAACTTATAAACATTTAATTTTCCAAACACGCTTTTGTTCAAATATAATTTAATTTAAAATTTCTATTCCAAGATTTAGAGAGAAAAAATGTGTCATTGTATTGATTAAATTTTCTTTCGTTTTAAAATTTAATTCGGAGTTATTTCCCATGAGACTGCAATACTTCTTGAACTCGTTTTTTTTTTAGCTTATAAATTAATTAAATTTTAAAAAAAAAACTGTCACATTTCCACTCCCCCCACTCCCAAAGCATTTATATATTTTTTTATATAGTTGAGTCATTAATTAGAAAAATTAAAATAGTTAAGTCATCAATTTAAACCCCGAGAAAATAGCGACCTACAATGTTCAGCATCCAAGAATTTTTTAAAAAATTATTTTTTTTATACCCCCAGCAGACGACGCCCGAGGGTGGGGCTCTGGATTCTGTCAGACACAACGCCCGGAGCTGGTGTCAGGCTGTGACAGCTGGCTACATGATGTGTGTCACACCGGCTGTCGGAGTCGTGCTGAGTGCCTGGTCGACGTTCGGGTCAGTTCATTCTACACAGTTTCTTCCAGGCACCGCTCCCCCCCCCCCTCCCAAATAAAGTCTACGCCCCCCCCCCCCCCGAACGAAATGGAATTTATATAGAAAATAAATACTTTTATCAGTGTCGTCCCCGTCCCCCCCCCCTCCGGAAAGTTTAGTCTTTAGTCCGCCCCCCAAATATCAAGTGCCTCCCCCCCCCCCCCCCCCAAGAAAAATTTCTGAAAGAGACACTGCATTCTACAATGATTTACACTCATTGCTGAGCTAAACAATCAAACTATAGTTTTCATTCATCAAATAGGCCTTATTTACGACTTAGGTAAACATTTTTGTTTGGATAAAACACCTGCACATGTCTTAAGTTAAACACCTGCACATGTCTTAAGTTAAACACCTGCACATGTCTTAAACACCTGCACATGTCTTAAGTTAAACACCTGCACATGTCTTAAGTTAAACACCTGCATATGTCTTAAGTTAAACACCTGCACATGTCTTAAGTTAAACACCTGCACATGTCTTAAGTTAAACACCTGCACATGTCTTAAGTTAAACACCTGCACATGTCTTAAGTTAAACACCTGCACATGTCTTAAGTTAAACACCTGCACATGTCTTAAGTTAAACACCTGCACATGTGTTAAGTTAAACACCTGCACATGTCTTAAGTTAAACACCTGCACATGTGTTAAGTTAAACACCTGCACATGTCTTAAGTTAAACACCTGCACATGTCTTAAGTTAAACACCTGCACATGTCTTAAGTTAAACACCTGCACATGTCTTAAGTTAAACACCTGCACATGTCTTAAGTTAAACACCTGCAAATGTCTTAAGTTAAACACTTGCACATGTCTTAAGATAAACACCTGCACATGTCTTAAGTTAAACACCTACACGTCTAAAGTTAAACACCTGCACATGTCTTAAGTTAAACACCTGCACATGTCTTAAGTTAAACACCTGCAAATGTCTTAAGTTAAACACTTGCACATGTCTTAAGATAAACACATGCACATGTCTTAAGTTAAACACCTGCAAGTGTCTTAAACACCTCCACATGTCTTAAGTTAAACACCTGCACATGTCTTAAGTTAAACACCTGCAAGTGTCTTAAACACCTCCACATGTCTTAAGTTAAACACCTGCACATGTCTTATGTTAAACACCTGCACACGCTTAAGTTAAACACCTTCCCACAGGTTGAGTGTCCAGGGCTGCGTGGTACTGACCATGTCCATCACCATCCTGGCAGCGGTCTGGCACCCGGATGTCCAGAGAAAGATTCGCCTGTCCGAGTCTGGCACCGTCCACTGCCCCCTGGCCGACCTGCTGTACGCGCCCATCAAGCTGACCACAGTCCTGGTCACCGTCTACCTGTCCATCTTCTTCAAGCTGGACGACTTCCGGGTGTCCCCCCAGAGTTGCCTGACCTTGGCCCTGGAGGAGATCGCCAAGGTCAAGGTCTGGCTGCCGGTGGTGCTGTGTTGCCTCTCGGGGCTGCTGTGTTTCCTGAATGTGCTGGCGGCGTTTAAGGTCGGGTTGACCACGGCGGGGGTCAAGCTGCCCATGTTTGTGTGTCCGGTCTTCGCCTCGTTGGCCACCACGGTGTTGTGGGATGATTTAGAAACAGATGCATTCTGGGAGGTCACGGGGATCGGGGTGTACGCCTGGACGGCGATTGGTCTATCGGCGATCACGTGGCTGATACCGTTTTTTCTCCCCATTTTTTCGGGATTTCAAAACTTTAAAAATAAACGGTATACCATCGGCGCATGCGTGTCGTGGAGTTCGTTTTTTCTAGAACCCAGACTGATCATGAGCAACTATTTCAACACGGACAACGACACACCGGACGAACTTTCTGGAAAATTTCAAGATTTCCCCCGAAAAAAAACTGTGTACATTTGCACTACCATGTACAAGGAAAGTGAACCAGAGATGAAACGTTACGTGGCTAGTATAAAAAACGTGTTTGAAAAAAACGACCCCAAGAAAGTGAACTTGGAGGCCCATGTGTTTTTCGATAGCTCGGTCGTGGACGGGAAAGTTACCCCCCTTGGTCGGCAGTTACTGGCCTTGCTGTGTCGAACTTTTGGGCTGAAGCTGAATGACCTTGAGAAGAAGGCCACACCCTACGGTTGCCAGGTCAACACGCGCAGCTTAATTAATTACCCGGCGTACATCCATTTTAAAGACACTTCAAAGGTCAAGGGCAAGAAGAGATGGAGCCAGGTCATGTACATGCATTATGTGTTGAACTTCCGGCATATCGAGTCGCAGACTTCCGGTTTCTGTAACATGGAGTACGACGACAAAAGCTGCCGATTCCAGACCGGATGTGCTGAGCCAAGAGAGCCGGCTTGGAGCTGTAGTCACGGCTCGCGTGAGCCGGCTTACAGCTTACCTAACTACTGCACGCTGCAGGACTCCACGGCTTCCAGTACCTGCTCGAATTGTTACGTCAGAGGTCAAGTGTCACTTCCGTTTTGTAAGTCAGACTCGCGGCTGTGCGAGGAGTCGAAAGAGTCGAGCGTTTTAGACTCGGCGGGGTTTTGGACGTCCTACGATCACGTGACCGGTGGGGGGTACGGCAGGGAGTGCCAGAGCAGGGAGCTCCAGGCGAAGGTGTGCTCTGTGTCTCTGGGCTCGGTCAATGACGACAGTGCCATCTCGTGCATTTCCAGGTGAGGCAATGGAATTGTGGGATACGAGGGACTTGTGTGAGAGTGTGTTTGTATATGGATAGAGAGGGTGGGTCTGTATTTAGATACAGAGAGTGGGTCTGTATGTAATAAAGAGTCGGTTTGTATGTGGATAGAGAAAGTGGGTCTGTGTGTAGCTGATGAGATGAGGTCTGGGTGTGGATAAAGAGAGTGGGTCTGTGTGTAATGGCGATTTTTGGAATAGATATGTCTTAAAATTAAGAAAATAGATATTTGCCTGTGCAGCTACAACTGGTGGTTATGAGTAGACCTAAAGACTAGATGTGGCTTCTTTACATTTAAATTTAATGCATGAATGCGCTGCTAAAACTACAACTTAAAAAAGGTCTTTCTTCCTCTAGATTTGTAGTTTATAATTTTTCAGAAAAATTAATTATTTAGCAACTCAATTAATTTTTTTTTAAATATTTCAGTTCCACCAGCTCTTCCCCGTGGTGCAACATGAAAACACACATTCTACCAAATACACACGAAACAGCTACGTCACTAGATAATGTGTACCTGCTGACAACGGACGCGGACACAGGTGACGCCCACATTTCTCATCATGACTTTCCTTGTTTCAATCCCCACGGCCCATTCCCTGGGGCCGTCAACATCAAAGCTACAATCCTAGTTATTTTAAACCGTTATTTTCTCCAGAATTTAGTGCTGACAGTTTGGCGAATGTTCTAGAACAATGTGAGACTGACCCAGATATTGGAGCCGTCTGCGGACGGACGGTGCCCATTGGTTCCGCCAAACCTATCGTCTGGTACCAGAAATTCGAATACGCAAAAGGTAACATCCCCTCATGTCCAAAAGTTAACAATCCCTGCATGTCCAAAAGTTAACATCCTTGTATGTCCAATATGCCATATTTTGTAAATACTATACTACATACTATACTAACTACCGTATCTCGTATTCTGCTATTTTTAAGTTTACATCCCAAACTTCCACATCTCGCATTCTGCTCTACTTAAGTTTACATCCCAAACTTCCACATCTCGCATTCTGCTCTACTTAAGTTTACATCCCACACAAACTTCCACATCTCGCATTCTGCTCTACTTAAGTTTACATCCCAAACTTCCACACCTCGCATTCTGCTCTACTTAAGTTTACATCCCACACAAACTTCCACATCTCGCATTCTGCTCTACTCAAGTTTACATCCCAAACTTCCACACCTCGCATTATGCTCTACTTAAGTTTACATCCGACACAAACTTCCACATCTCGCATTCTGCTCTACTCAAGTTTACATCCCAAACTTCCCCATCTCGCATTGAGCCCGGATGTTCTCTCTCCCCAGATTTCTGGCTAGTCAAGTCCTCACAGAACGTCATCGGCTCCGTGACTTGCTGTCCGGGCTGCTTCAGTATCTACCGCGGGGCGGCCATGGCCAATGTGTTCCAGCAGTTCTGTACGCCCCCACACTCGGCCTTTGATAACCTGGTCATGGACCACGGTAGGTTGGACCCCTGTATCGTGACCCCTGTGTCGTGAACCCTTCTGTCGTGACCCCTTCTGTCGTGACCCCTTCTGTCGTGACCCCTTCTGTCGTGGCCCCTTCTGTCGAGACCCCTGTGTCGTGACCCCTTCTGTCGTGGCCCCTGTGTCGTGACCCCTTCTGTCGTGGCCCCTGTGTCGTGACCCCTTCTGTCGTGACCCCTTCTGTCATGACCCCTTCTGTCGTGGCCCCTGTGTCGTGACCCTTGTGTTGTGACCCTTGTGTTTTGACCCTTGTGTCTTGACCTATGTTCGCGACCCTAGTCCATATGATGCATGAACAATAATGTCCGTGTTACATTACTACAAATCTCCTATGATAAAAAAATCAACATGACAAGTCAAGTGACACATACACCCTGTGTCAAATGACATCTCATCTAGAGTAAAGACAAGGTGGGGAGGGGGGGGATTACACAAATATGTCACTACGCTTTAAACGTTTTATATTTTAAAAAAAAACAACAGAATAGCAAATATCATACAAACATTTTCATTTTGGATAATTAGATGTTAACAGTTTAAATGGGCAACGCAACAGCTCAGAATTGAAACTTCATTGAGTTGTAAAAGAATTAAATTGCGATGAATATTTCTAAAAGAAACAAACCAAACCAACGAACATATTCCTCTCAAATGCTACAACTAAAAAGTATATTATGCACTGTGTGTCCACCCCAAAACATCCCCCACCCCTCCCGTTCCTTAATGTTCCACCAACTACTCTTATGATAAGAATATGTCACGTGAATCATCTTGTATAATCTCAGCTATGTGACATCTGCTCCAATCGTCATCGATTCGCCATGTAAATGAACCAAACAACATAGCACCATGTCATGTATTCCCTTATCGTTAATGCAAGCTTAGGTGATCGTTCTTTAGCCATTCGAGCCTGTAACACATAGAAATATACAGAACTGTGCATACAGTTGTGTTCACAGTAAACAAATTACATTATTATATCTAGATCTATGTGTGCCTTTATCTACTGACGAAGTGTTTGTCCACAACTGATCTAATTCTTACATCAACTCCACGCAGGCGAGGACAGATGGCTCTGCACCCTACTGATGCAGGCTGGCTGGCGACTTGCATACTCCTCCCAAGCCCACAACTCCACCCACTGCCCGGAGACCGTCGGCGAATTTCTCCGACAGCGGCGACGCTGGGTCTTGTCAGAGCTATCCAACATGGCCGCCATCTTCGTCACCCTCCGGAAGCTGGTCAGAAACAACGCGTCGTTTTCTGGAATGTTCCTGATCTCGCTGTTGACGACCTTCCTCTGGGTAGTGCTGTCCCCTGCCACGACGCTGGTCTTCATGTGTGCAGGTCTGGAAGTGCTGTTCTCCGTTACCATGGCGATCACATTACCGGTGGCGCTGGCAGGATTTTTTTGCTACTGTATCGTGTGCTGCGTCGCGAATCAGCACAAGCAGAAATTGGTTTCCATAGCAACGACGTCGGTTGTGGCGGCCATTGTTGTGTCATTGGGTGTTGGTTTTGTTTTCTACGTCATAAACGCTGTACAAACAGGTGAGTATTGTACAGGTGTGTTGTACAGGTGTGTTGTACATGTGTGTTGTACAGGTGTGTTATATGGTACACATGTGTTGTGCAGGTGTGTTGTGCGGTATACGTGTGTTTGGAGGTATGTTATTTGGTATATCTATGTAGTGTGTGACATAAACAACTTGAAGAAACTAAATTTATTTTTAAAAAAAAAAAACAACATCTCCCTTCAACTAAATATTTACCAATTGTAACCAAGTGACGTTTCTATTTTTAGATCTGGAGGTCGAGGGCAAAGTTCACTTCCGGCCCTACTTTCTTGTGTTCATCTTGATCATCGCCATCGTGTACGCCGCCGTCCTTCACCCCAGTGAGCTGACCAGCCTGGTGTACGGGGTGGCATATGCCCTGCTCTTCCCCTCCATGTTCATCATACTTCCGGTCTATGCCCTGGCCAACATGCTTGACCAGTCGTGGGGCACGAGAGAGGTGAGTACACCCCCCACCCCGTTTAGAGGTCATGGTTTCTGGTCAAAGACTGAGATCTTTGGCACAAGATTCAAAATGGAAAGATTTTTTTGGTTTGGCGGAGGGAGGGGGAGGAATCTGAAGAATCTCTAGCAAAATATCATGTGGTATTTTTTAAGATAAATGAATACCGTATTTCGGCATAGAAGGACTTGGGTGAAATATCATAAAGATTGTTTTGAATCAACACACACACACACATCTTTGTAAAGGAAGCAAAGCTTAAATAAAAGTTTCACCCTTGACCTAACTCGCCTGTATAATTCAAGTAGTTGGTTGTTAACGTCTGGTTACTTCAAGTAGAAATAATACAAGGTTGCAGTTGCATTTGCAATAGGTTATAATTGGGAGAGGGGAGAATTTTAGGATTAAAAAAATATCTATCCATAATATATATATATATATATATATATATATATATATATATATATATATATATATATATATATATATGGGTTCGAACCCCTTCCTCTCCACATCCTCCCTGCCTACACCAGTGTAAGATATTGACGCTCATATTTTCTCAGGCGGGGTCACATGGATGTTGTCAGCAGCCTCAGGTGGAGGAGGATGAGGATTTGTTTTTAGGTAGGTTTACATACAGGTACATAGGTGAGGTAAACTACAGGTAAACTATTTAGGTAAACTACAGGTAAATAGTTGAGGTAAACTACAGGTAAACAATTCAGGTAAACTACAGGATGAGGATTTGTTTTTAGGTAGGTTTACAATATACAGGTACATAGGTGAGGTAAACTACAGGTAAACTATTTAGGTAAACTACAGGTAAATAGTTGAGGTAAACTACAGGTAAACAATTCAGGTAAACTACAGGATGAGGATTTGTTTTTAGGTAGGTTTACAATATACAGGTACATAGGTGAGGTAAACTACAGGTAAACTATTTAGGTAAACTACAGGTAAATAGTTGAGGTAAACTACAGGTAAACAATTCAGGTAAACTACAGGATGAGGATTTGTTTTTAGGTAGGTTTACAATATACAGGTACATAGGTGAGGTAAACTACAGGTAAACTATTTAGGTAAACTACAGGTAAATAGTTGAGGTAAACTACAGGTAAACAATTCAGGTAAACTACAGGATGAGGATTTGTTTTTAGGTAGGTTTACATACAGGTACATAGGTGAGGTAAACTACAGGTAAACAATTCAGCTAAACTACAGGATGATGATTTGTTTTTAGGTAGGTTTACATACAGGTAAATAGTTGAGGTAAACTACAGGTAAACAATGGAGGTAAATTACAGGTAAACAATTCAGGTAAACTACAGGATGATGATTTGTTTTTAGGTAGGTTTACAATATACAGGTACATAGGTGAGGTAAAATACAGGATGAGGATTTATTTTAGGTAGGTTTACATACAGGTACATAGGTGAGGTAAAATACAGGTAAATAGTTGAGCTAAACTACAGGTAAACAATTTTGGTGAACTCCAGGATGAGGATTTGTTTTCAGGTAGGTTTACATACAGGTAAATAGGTGAGGTAAAATACAGGTAAACAATTTAGGTAAAGTATAGGTAAACAATTTAGGTAAACTACGGGATGAGGATTTGTTTTTAGGTAGGTTTACATTCAGGTACATAGGTGAGGTAGAATACAGGTAAACAATTAAGGTAAAGTATAGGTAAACAATTTAGGTAAACTACGGGATGAGGATTTTTTTTTAGGTAGGTTTACATACAGGTACATAGGTGAGGTAAAATACAGGTAAACAATTGAGGTAGAATACAGGATGAGGATTTGTTTTTAGATAGGTTACATACAGGTATATAGCTGAGGTAAAATACAGGTAAACAATTAAGGTAAAGTATAGGTAAACAATTTAGGTAAACAAATGTCATCCCTTTTAAAATTGTTTATCAAGACAAATGTCGTCCCTCTTATAATTGTTTACAAAGACAAATGTCATCCCTCTTATAATTGTTTACAAAGACAAATGTCATCCCTCTTATAATTGTTTATCAAGACAAATGTCATCCCTCTTATAATTGTTTACAAAGACAAATGTCATCCCTCTTATAATTGTTTATCAAGACTAATGTCACCCATCTTATAGTTGTTCATCAAGACAAATGTCATCCCTCTTATAATTGTTTATATAGACAAATGTCATCCCTCTTATAATTGTTTATATAGCAAATGTCATCACTCTTATAATTGTTTATAAAGTCACATTTCATCCTCTTATAATTGTTTATAAAGACAAATGTCATCCCTCTTATAATTGTTTATAAAGACAAATGTCATCCCTCTTATAATTGTTTATAAAGACAAATGTCATCCCTCTTATAATTGTTTATAAAGACAAATGTCATCCCTCTTATAATTGTTTATCAAGAAAAATGTCATCCCTCTTATAATTGTTTATCAAGACAAATGTCATCCCTCTCATAATTGTTTACAAAGACAAATGTCATCCCTCTTATAATTGTTTATAAAGACAAATGTCATCCCTCTCATAATTGTTTACAAAGACAAATGTCATCCTCTTATGATTGACAGATTACTCCCTTGATGTTGACTCCCTCCCAAACATGGAGGACACCGACAGCAAAGAGAACAAGTTCTGGAAGAATCTTCAGCACAACGTCATCGGCAACTACGTCAACAACGGCAAATCTGGACCCCAGTTGGCAGACGATTTGAGTCGTCTGCGTCGCCAAGCCATGTCCGGGCTGGTCGCTTCCAACTTGGTCTGGTTTGTCTCCCTTAGCCTCATCTACCTGCTGGCCGGAAGTGACGTCATTTGTTATTTGGTTGCCGCCGTCTTTAGCTTCTCCTTACTCGTGCAGCTAGTGGGGCTAACATGCTACAAGTTTAACAGCGTCATTGAGGCACAGCTGAAGGAAAATGTCAGTGACTACATCAAGACCTAGCCACATCGACAGTTGAAGGAGAATGTCAATGAGTACATCAAGACTTAGCGACATCGACGGTTATAGGAAAATGTCAGTGACTACATCAAGACCTAGCCACATCGAGACAAAGTTAGAGGAAAATGTCAGTGACTACATCAAGACCTAGCCACATCAACAGCTGAAGGAAAATGTCAGTGACTACATCAAGACCTAGCCACAACACTTGAAGGAAAATGTCAGTGACTACATCAAGACCTAGCTACATCAACAGTTGAAGGAAAATGTCAGTGACTACATCAAGACCTAGCCACATCAACAGCTGAAGGAAAATGTCAGTGACTACATCAAGACCTAGCTACATCAACAGTTGAAGGAAAATGTCAGTGACTACATCAAGACCTAGCTACATCAACAGCTGAAGGAAAATGTCAGTGACTACATCAAGACCTAGCCACATCAACAGCTGAAGGAAAATGTCAGTGACTACATCAAGACTTAGAGACATAGACAGTTGAAGGAAAATGTCAGTGACTACATCAAGACTTAGAGACATAGACAGTTAAAGGAGAATGTCAGTGACTACATTAAGACCTAGCTACATCGACAGTTGAATCAAAATGTCAGTGACTACATCAAGACCTAGCCACAATAAAAGTTGAAGGAGAATGTCAGTGACTACATCAAGACCTAGCCACATCAACAGTTGAAGGAAAATGTCAGTGACTACATCAAGACCTAGCCACAATAAAAGTTGAAGGAGAATGTCAGTGACTACATCAAGACCTAGCCACAATACTTGAAGGAAAATGTCAGTGACTACATCAAGACCTAGCCACATCGACAGTTGAAGGAAAATGTCAATAACTACATCAAGACCTAGCCACATCAACAGTTGAAAGAAAATGTCAGTGACTACATCAAGACCTAGCCACATCAACAGTTGAAGGAGAATGTCAGTGACTACATCAAGACCTAGCCACAATACTTGAAGGAAAATGTCAGTGACTACATCAAGACCTAGCCACATCGACAGTTGAAGGAAAATGTCAGTGACTACATCAAGACCTAGCCACAACACTTGAAGGAAAATGTCAGTGACTACATCAAGACCTAGCTACATCAACAGTTGAAGGAAAATGTCAGTGACTACATCAAGACCTAGCTACATCAACAGCTGAAGGAAAATGTCAGTGACTACATCAAGACCTAGCCACATCAACAGTTGAAGGAAAATGTCAGTGACTACATCAAGACCTAGCCACATCAACAGTTGAAGGAAAATGTCAGTGACTACATCAAGACCTAGCCACAATACTTGAAGGAAAATGTCAGTGACTACATCAAGACCTAGCCACATCGACAGTTGAAGGAAAATGTCAGTGACTACATCAAGACCTAGCTACATCAACAGCTGAAGGAAAATGTCAGTGACTACATCAAGACCTAGCCACATCAACAGTTGAAGGAAAATGTCAGTGACTACATCAAGACCTAGCCACAACAACAGTTGAAGGAGAATGTCAATGAGTTCATCAACTTTGAGCATACTTATGAATTATTCACTACACTCAGAATGTAAATGTGTTAATTCAAATAATGTAACCGCTTACTCAACTGCAATAACAAATGCATTTTTCCACACAAAGCTAAAAATGTGGTCTACACACGGAGCGTGTTAGAGACAAATTTCTGCGACCCTTCCTGCAAATTTTTTGGAGTAGCCATATTTAAAGAACAATGTATATTTTCTTATGGTTTTAAAAAAAAATGTTTTGAGGGTTTGTAGTTAATTATCCCTCCCCCACCCAATCACCGCCATTTACCCATCAAGTTGATTCTGTAGAGCAGGATAAGACCGTAGGCGTACAATATTCTCTGCAATAGCATTAAATGTAGTGAAATCATTGTAAGCAAAGTTAGTAGGCTATTACAAAATGTAACATTCATTTTAGTGGTGTATTTGTTGTACTGACAATGTTCAGTTTATTTACAGTCTATTGTTTAGTGAGAAAGATTGATGTAAATAGCAGCTTAATAGCACAGTCAATGGTAAAGTAACAGGTAGCTGTGATACACTGAAATACAAGAAGGCCAAATTATGAGAACATTTATTGTTTATTTTAAATTTGGTTGATATCCTGAATGTAAATAAAATACAACGCTAATGTCATGTTGTGTGTGTATGTGTAGGATCAGAGTTGTGAATGTAGCTTGACTGGTCAAATAATGTAGCGATTGCATTTCCATAAACAATCTTCTAACTAGTTACAGTGTTAGGAAACAGCTCATAACTTTTGAGCATGCAACTTTTGCTTCCGTGTTGATGTCTATAGAGCGCAGTGAATAGTTAAAACAAAAACTCACACAAAGTGACAAAAAAAAAGACAAAAAGAGAAGATGGATTTTAAAAAAATACTCAGTTCCTTTATTGGAACATTGTTACTTTCATCATGAGACTATTGCATTGGAAAAATAAAAACAGAAATCTTCCCAGAATTATCTGAACAACGCACGTGACCAAACCACGTGACTAAACCCCTTGCCTGGCCACAGTGGGTGCCCCACTCTATATACAATCATTTAACAAAACACCAGTGGAATCCTATCACGTCAATGGTGGGGGTTCCAGGCCCGTCGCCGCCAACATTTTGGCAAAATATCGTCTGCAGGTTGCACTTCCACACGTGTAGATCTGATCAAAGAAAACGTGGAATTAGAAAATTATCTCCAGCAATCAACTCACCATACCAAGCTCCCCCACCCCATTAATTAAATACTTCATGCTCCACCACCCCATAAACTCACCACACCATCCTCCCCTACCCCATCAACTCACTACAATACTACCCCACCCCTCAACTTACCACCATCCTCCCCACCCCTCCTCACCACCGTCATCCCCACCCCTCAACTCACCACCATCCTCCCCCACCCTCAACTCACCACCATCCTCCCCCACCCTCAACTCACCACCATCCTCCCCCACCCCTTAACTCACCACCATCCTCCCCCACCCCTCAACTCACCACCATCCTCCCCCACCCCTTAACTCACCACCATCCTCCCCCACCCCTCAACTCACCACCATCCTCACCTACCCCTCAACTCACCACCATCCTCCCCCACCCCTCAACTCACCACCATCCTCCCCACCCCTCAACTCACCACTTCATGCTCCCCCACCCCTCAACTCACCACTTCATGCTCCCACACCCCTCAACTCTCAACTTCATGCTCCCCAACCCCTAACCCCCCCCCCCCCGCCCCTCATCGTCCCCCACCCCTCAACTCACCACCATCCTCCCCCACCCCTCAACTCACCACCATCCTCCCCCACCCCTCACCACCATCCTCCCCCACCACTCAACTCACCACTTCATGCTCCCCCACCCCTCAACTCACCACTTCATGCTCCCCCACCCCTCAACTCACCACTTCATGCTCCCCCACCCCTCAACTCACCACTTCATGCTCCCCCACCCCTCAACTCACCACTATCCTCCCCCACCCCTCAACTCACCACCATACTCCCCCACCCCTCAACTCACCACTTCATGCTCCCCCACCCCATCAACTCACCACTTCATGCTTCCCCACCCCATCAACTCACCACTTCATGCTCCCCCAGATTATTAACGTCCCAGACGACCTCCTGTGTTTTGCCCCACCCCTCCTCTACGGGTGTCATTTGCAGGATTAGCTTGCCGTCCTTGAAAGTTGTGAACACCTGGGGAAAATAAAGTGGTTGCTCACCTTCATATCTGGATCTGTTCCGTTAAGTCACAAGTCGGGGATTAACTCGTCTGTTAAACTCATGTTCCCTCTACGGTCCATGGGGCAAGTGAAGTAGAGTTCACCTGTTTCTATGACCTCGGCATATTAATGAATAGTGTGGTTATCAACTTGCCCAGTTAGGTACCCTTCGGAGCTGGGTTGACTCAGCGACCTTCCACTAATTTGAACCCGGCATTCGTACTCGAGACTTTCGGGTTAGTAGTCTAGCGCTCTACCTCTAGGCCACGCCTGTTAAACGCAGGTGTGTGTTTAATTATTCTGTTAAACACATGTGTGTGTTTGACCACTCCGTTAAACCCATCAGTGTGTGTTTAACCACCCCGTTAAAGCCACCAGCAGTGTGTTTAACCGTGTGTACTCACGCTCTGTCGTGACTTCTCCACCAAGTTCTCCACCGTCTCCCCCAGGGTGAAGACGTAGTTCTGGTTGTGGAACGTCGACCGGAAGCTGATGTAGATGCGGCCATCTTTCACCAAGAAAATTTCTTCCGGCGCCCCACTTCCGGCCACCTTACGGTTGAAAAAATTGATACCTGGGATCGTAAAAATTATTTATCAAGGGGGGTCATCCATAAAGGACGTCGAGCTTTTAAAAAAACGAATTTTATTCACGAGCTCCCCATGATCACAAAAAGACAGACTCCCCGCCTCCCTTAAATGACATCCCCCCTCTTCCACCCCTACCCCCCCCCCCCCCCTAAGGCTACTAAGCTCCTCAAAAGCGCAGTTTTTATTTTTACAACCACGAGATCTGTTAACATTAATTTTATTAATTAATTTGTATTGAAATGTACAAATAAAGTCTTTAATTCACGCAAACTAGGCTAACGGCTGAAATTCAGTTCATGAAATAACTTTTTTTAAATGCACATCATCTCAAAAGTCCGAACCCTAGATCCCCTAGGAGTTTGAAGTCGTTTTTTAACGACGCCCTAACAACTAGTTCAACGTGATTTTATAGCTGTGTTCTATAGTCTATATTATTTTATATACAAATCTAAAACAGAACAAAATTTGGCATCTAATTCGATAAATCGGCAAAGTAACTTACTCTTTTTGAGTTTCTACTTTACAATTGAAAAATATTGTCCAGTATATTCTTCTTCATTACAACAAGAAGGACTAAACAAAAAAAAATACTCTTAGAAAAAAGGTGAATAAAATGTGAGAAATGTGTATAGTATCCCTAACCCAGATGGTCTTAAAGTCAGCCCCAATCCTAAAACAAGCCGGACCAATCAACAGTAGCAATAGACCAAGAGCACAAGTCTCACCGACAGCCTTTAGGTATTCGTCATATGGATCAGACCGCACAAGCTTCCATTGACCTCCGAATTTAGCCTCGATTTGTTTCAGGTCTGCATCTGAAGCGCTCACTTCCGGTTTTGTTTCAGGCGCCGACGTCACTTCCTGTTTTTGTGGGGAGGGTGGGCTGACCTCTGCCGCAGGGAGGGGAGCTGGGGCTACAGCTGGTGGTGCTACAGCTGGTGGTGCTACAGCTGGTGGTGCTACAGCTGGTGGTGCTACAGTTGGTGGTGCAGCCTCGGTTGGAGGCTGAGCGGTAGAGCTCGGAGCTTGGGACGGCGCTGGTTCGAATCCCAGTCCCAGCAAATCCCCGTCCATTGTTTATATTCTATTTCTACACAACACGACGTGAAAACTATGTGACCTCTCAACTAATTCACCTTAGTAGTTTTGTTTTGTTCATAGAATAGTGCTGTAAACAAATCAAAAGAGTATTTTAACTGAGGAGAAATTCAATACTTTTGAATGTGTACTAACTAGTTATTAAAAACACTTTTAAAACAATGAATATATATATATATATATATATATATATATATATATATATATATATATATATATATATATATATATATATATATATATATATATATATATATATATATATATATATATATATATATATATATATGTGTGTGTGTGTGTGTGTGTGTGTGTGTGTGATCAAAAATGATCAACCAATGTTATTTTTCATGTTAGGACTACGATAATTATGTGGGGAGAAGTGGAAACCGTGTATTCATCTTTAGGAGAGGGGGAGAGGGAAGGGGGTGTCTGACTTTTTAACAAATTGGTATACGACGATAAAATTTTAAAAAATTGTTTAACATCAGGCGTAATGAATGTTCGAAAATTTAAACGAAAAAAAAACACGCAATTTGTTACAAAAATTTAATCACCAAACCACGTGTAGATAAAATTAATTTATTTAAATGATCTTACATCTTAGATGTGTTAAATTTCACCCTTTGTTACATAAAATAAACAGAATTCCGTACAGAAGGAAAAATTAATTACTTACGGAAATGTATGTATCCTATGGTAGCCTATGACCTGAGCTGAATAATTGCATTACACTGTGGAGTGGACGAGTCAGAGACGAGTTATCTGCGATTGTTATCGTGATGTGGGTTCAAAGATTAGGGTAGGTGGATCTATAAATAGAATCATAAAGTAGCAACTGTTGGCGAAATTGAAAGCTGTATTGGGATGTAGATTGACGCTGGAGATTGGAGCTATACTGTGGAGACCTTTCAAAGGGGGAACCGGAAACAGCGGAAGTGAAAGTAGGCTCTTGTGTTGATGCCAAGACTTGTGTTTTGGTGCCCGACAGGCGTTGATATATTTAAACGCTTGTATTTAGTTTGACTGTATGTGAGTCATAATGCGCTAAGAACTTTCTTATGACATAAAAAGTATAGAACCCATTCATGCCATATGGGGTCTATGGGGCAGGTAGAGGAGGGTTCACCTGTTTTATTGACCTTGGCAGAGTTTCTTCCAGGCATCTCTTCGGGGGGGGGGGGGGGGGGCGAAGTAAGTCTACCGCCCCCCCCCCCCCCGAACGAGATGGATTTTATATAGTAAACATACACTTTAGACAGTATCCGCCCCCCCCCCAAATGTTGATCGCCACCCCCCCCCCCCCCGAAAATTTCAAAAGCCCCCCCCCCCCCCCCCGGAGAAAAAAGTCAGGAAGAAACACTGGACCTTGGTATATAAATGGATAGTGTTGTCAGCACTCTTCCCAGCCGCCTTTAGTTTCCCTAACTTGAGTCAGGTACCCGTCAGAGCTGGGTGGACTCAGTGAGTCAGGTGCCCATCAGAGTTGGGTGGACTCAGTGAGTCAGGTACCCATCAGAGCTGGGTGAACTCAGTGAGTCGGGTACCCATCAGAGCTGGGTGGAGTCAGTGAGTCGGGTACCCATCAGAGCTGGGTGGACTCAGTGAGTCAGGTACCCATAAGAGCTGGGTGGACTCAGTGAGTCAGGTACCCATAAGAGCTGGGTGGACTCAGTGAGTCAGGTACCCATAAGAGCTGGGTGGACTCAGTGAGTCAGGTACCCATAAGAGCTGGGTGGACTCAGTGAGTCAGGTACCCATAAGAGCTGGGTGGACTCAGTGAGTCAGGTACCCATAAGAGCTGGGTGGACTCAGTGAGTCAGGTACCCATAAGAGCTGGGTGGACTCAGTGAGTCAGGTACCCATAAGAGCTGGGTGGACTCAGTGAGTCAGGTACCCATAAGAGCTGGGTGGACTCAGTGAGTCAGGTACCCATAAGAGCTGGGTGGACTCAGTGAGTCAGGTACCCATAAGAGCTGGGTGGACTCAGTGAGTCAGGTACCCATCAGAGCTGGTTGACTCGGGGCGTCGTACGGACTCGAGCCCGAGATCTGAACTCGACAGTTTCTGGTTAGCATTCGATCGCTCAACTATTCGACCTCACTGTCCCAAAATCACATGACATAGGCCTGTATAATGAAATAAATCTCAACCATTCATCCAGGCCTTAATAGATCATTTATTTATTTCTCTCTGTGTCTCTAATACGGGCGGATCAATGCTCTTAAAGTTTAAAGCAGACATGTCGCACTCTAAGATAAAGATTCCACTCTCGCTAGCTCAAGTACCATCCATGTTGCTAGTCCCTAAACCCGTGGACATCCTGCAGGCTTTTACTCGCTCCCTTTGAGCATCGTACCACATGGTGGTGGGGGGGGGGGGGGGGCGGGGGGAAGGAGATTCTATCTTTAGAAAAGTTTAAGTCTCATGGGTAGGGCGAGAAATTATTAAAATGGACGTTAATGAGGGTGATTTAATAATATTTTTTACCAAAAGCAGGCGAAATTTGGGAAACCCCCCCCCTCCTCCATTAATGAAGGATCTCCTCGATTAATGAATTATCTCCCCATTAATGAAGGATCTCCCCATTAATGAAGGATCTCCGACATTAATGAAGGATCTCCTCATTAATGAATGATCTCCGACATTAATAAAGGATCTCCCCATTAATGAAGGATCTCCGACATTAATGAAGGATCTCCCCATTAATGAAAGATCTCCCCATTAATGATCTCCCCCATTAATGAAGGATCTCCCCCATTCATGAAAGATCTCCATTAATGAAAGATCTCCCCATTAATGAAGGATCTCCCCATTAATGAAGATCTCCATTAATGAAAGATCTCCCCCATTAATGAAGGATCTCCCCATTAATGAAAGATCTCCCCATTAATGAAGGATCTCCCCCATTCATGAAAGATCTCCATTAATGAAGGATCTCCCCCATTCATGAAAGATCTTCTCCATTAATGAAAGATCTCCCCCATTAATGAAGGATCTGCCCAGATCTGAGCTGTACGTCCTGTGACATAACGTGACGTCAGGACGACGGCGTTGATTGGTCCACTTTGTAAACCGGACATCAGTGAGATGTGGGTCAAGGCGACAGGACGTTGATTGAATAAACCGGCGATTACGTACAGATAAGTACTTGATATAGATACGAGGACACGCCCCTACACACACCATGCGTGCTGCCGCGTGCAGCGCTAACATTACATTGTGTGTTGTTTAAAGTTTATCTGCACCAAGCTATGTGGTGGGAGTGATTAATCAAAACAATTTGCCCCCCCCCCCCCCCCCCCTCTACCCAAAAGAATTTCGTTGAGCCTTAGGTTGGACTGCTATATAGATCTAGGTATCACCCGCAAAAAAAAGCAAGCTATGCAATTTGACACTTAAAAGTAAGTTTGTAACAAACACCTAACCCTAACCCATACTTTGACTGGGTTTAACAAGGGATATATTCACGGGCACGATTATTTTATGAATAGAAACATCATAGCGATCTTAGATTCTTCAAGCTTATCTGAGCAGTATTGAATGAAGGAAGATGTTGCTATTTTATCTTGAACATTTCCCCTGGTCCATCTTTAGTAGAGGTGACTAAAGATGATGCAGTCTATTTAATTCTTTACAAGTAATTATGTAAAAACAAAAGAATCATGCTTGTCAAAATAAAAATTGTATGCATAAACAAACACTTGAATTCTAGTAAAGAAACAAGCCAGTGATCATTTTAATGAACATTGACTGATAAAGTACATATCACAATATGTATCACATAATAAAAATACATTACACGCCAATCTTTCCACACACCAATCATTCAGCACTACAATCTTTCAAACTGAAAAAAATACAACCAGTGTGTACATAAAAACCATGATGTGTACATCAAAATACTTCTTGGCATAGTCATTTAACCATAATGTGTACATGAACACAGAACTACAATCTGTACATGAACATGCTCCTTCAACTCAGTTCTTCACTCATTCAGACACATATATCCACAAGACAACCTTGCTATTGTTGTATTTTCTATCTAGATGTCAACATTGGTCTATTGTGTCTGTGTTGCTTATTTGCTACATCTGCCTTGTAGATCAATAAACATCAACTTTGCTTTTCAAATAAAATCCTAAAATCTGTGTAATGAAGATTACTAACTGTTTGCGGTCTGATTATTTGCTGTCTAGCTGTTTGCGGTATGGCTGATTGTTGTCTAGCTGTTTGCTGTATGGCTGATTGCTGTCTAGCTGTTTGCTGTATGGCTGATTGCTGTCTAGCTGTTTGCTGTATGGCTGATTGCTGTCTAGCTGTTCGCTGTATGGCTGATTGCTGTCTAGCTGTATGCTGTATGGCTGATTGCTGACTGGCTATAGGTCTGTTTACTGTATAGCTGTGTACTTATGGTATAACTGTTAAGTAAAAGCCCCTTTTATCTCCATTAGGAAGACAACCATCACTTGCAGTCTCACCATCAGCTAGACCCACCACAACAGTCAATGACCTGCTAGTGGTTAGCTAGACCCACCACAATAGCTGGTGACCTAATGGTGGTCAGCCAGACCCGCTCCACAGCTAGTGACCTAATGGCCTCTGACATTAAACAAAAAGCCACCACAGAAGTGGAGAAGCTGAGCATTTGCTGACAAACATGTTAGAAAGACTAAAATGGGTTCAACTTGACGGGTTCGATGGTTTCCTTGAGTGAGTTGATGAGTCGCTGACCTGTGATGAGGCTGGTGCTGGCCACAACGTAGTCTGTCCCTCCTGTGGAGAAGACAGTCAAGTATGTTAATCTGGACAGGACAGGTATGGAGGTCAATTCGGACAAGACAGTCAAGTATGTCAATCTGGACAAGACAGATATTGAGGACGTGGAAGATACTTTTGTTAAACTGGTTTCAAAATTTTTAAGACCAGGTTTTGTATTTTAATCCAATAAAACATAAAAACTAAAAATTGTATCTGCAACATACATTTGATTGTTAATTAATAGAAAATTCAGAATAAGGGGTTGTGGGTGTAATAAAAACAAGGATTCAAACGGCAATGAAAAAATCTTTAACAAATCAGCCTGGCAATTCAGATCATAAAAAAAACTGACACATTTTTATTTGAACAGTATACTTACTATTGTCTACAACTGTTAATTATTCTTACATTTAAAAGAAAAGTTGATTGAAATATAACCTTGGGGTATATAGGGTTTTGTATTGGTGTATTGCATTGATTAGATTTTACATATGGTCTACAGTCTAGCAGCTATGGTATAGCAATAGATTTAAGGGAACATTTTAGAGACAACCGAGGCTGCTTATAGAAATAGGGGTGGGATATCAGGGGTAAAGTAAAAAAAAAACTGATTAAGAAGCAAAAGTGTTGGGAAGTAGTACAGTATGCAGTAAAATAACTGAACTAGAGTTCTGTATAAATTATCAGAGCTTCAGAATACATACAAGGTAGCTGAAAAATGCTAACTATTAGCCCAGGTTGAGAAGTTTAGGATTTTGGTTGGAAGTTATAAAAAAAACTGGGTTTGATGTGTGAGAAAATTTTAAGCTATTCCCTGAGGCCTGAAACCTTTTTGTCCTAGTGTCACTGTTCTCCAAGGTTTGGCTTAAAAGACAAAGCTGGTGGGGGAGGGTGACACATCTACAGGAGAATCAAACTGAAAAATAAATCACCAAGCCCTAACTAATGTTAGTATAGCGGAACCCCTTCCCGGCTGTAGCGCTTGATGTCAGCTGTCAGCGTTTCCATGATGTACGTGCCGGTGATGATGTGGGTTGTAGCCACTATGTAGTCATACGGGACACCTGCGTTGGCTAACATGGGACAAAAATGGTTCTAGCACCTTATGTAACAATATATCACGTAATCATACGGGACACCTGCGTTTGCTAACATGGGACAAAAATGGTTCTAGCACCTTATGTACCAATAGTTACATAACAGTAGTCATATGGGATAACTGCGTTAGTTGCCATGGGACAAAAATTGTTCAAGCACTATGTCACTTTATAGATAAACACATAGGGCCAACAAAAAAACAAAAACATCTGATTTCAATACTAAATTTTGATTCTAGGAATGATTTTTTCATGCTTAGTTTTTAAAAAAATCTTGAACAGAGGTTCTTGTCAAGATGGTTTATGTTCAAAATGTTTTAGTACGTAAGCCAACACATACAATAACACATACATACCATCATCCTGCTGAGCTAAAAACCGTAAAGCAGCAACTTCCGCCTGTGTAACCCCTCCAAGAAAAAAAACCAAAGTCAGCTTTTGCTCCCCCATACTTGACTGAGATGAAGTCACAGAAGCTCCTGGAGTCAAGTAAATATACAGGGCATATGTAGTACACAGCTTACAGCCCTATGTAGCAAGCACTCTATACACAGCTTGTATACCATTAATACACAATCACAAGCCACACCCCATCTTGACCCAAGCTCCATTGCTCAGGGACATTATTGTCTTTATAGAAAAAGAGATTTTAAGTGTGTGGTTCTCATAATAACAGTTGGACTATTCATGTATCTGCTATATTTCTTGATCATTATGGTTAATGGCTGTTGAGGAACAAAATGCTGGAGACTAACCTATATTTGATATTATATGTACAACACCAGACTTACATCCCTTGTGTAGACCAAGTTAAAATGTCATATATAATTCCCTATGTTTAGACCTAGATTTACTTCCCTTGTGAAGACCCATTTAAAACTATGTTTAGCCCAAGACTGACTTACTTCGCTTACGTAGACCCATGGGAATCTGTTGCACCTCCTCCACCTTGGGCCCAGGTAACATGTTGAGCACCTCTGTTATACTCCGCCATCCAGGTCGAGCCAGGTACTGAGCAAGTCTGACACTCAATGGGGCGTAGCCACTATACACATAAGCTATATCATTGGGATTCTGAAAAAAATATATTTAAAATATGGGACGTAACCACTATACACATAAGCTATATCATTGGGATTCTGAAAAAAATATATTTAAAATATGGGACGTAACCACTATACACATAAGCTATATCATTGGGATTCTGGAAAAAATATATTTGAAATATGGGACGTAGCCACTATACACATAAGCTATATCATTGGGATTCTGAAAAAAATATATTTAAAATATGGGACGTAGCCACTATACACATAAGCTATATCATTGGGATTCTGGAAAAAATATATTTGAAATATGGGACGTAGCCACTATACACATAAGCTATATCATTGGGATTCTGAAAAAATATATTTAAAATATGGGACGTAGCCACTATACACATAAGCTATATCATTGGGATTCTGAAAAAATATATTTAAAATATGGGACGTAGCCACTATACACATAAGCTATATCATTGGGATTCTGAAAAAATATATTTAAAATATGGGACGTAGCCACTATACACATAAGCTATATCATTGGGATTCTGAAAAAATATATTTAAAATATGGGACGTAGCCACTATACACATAAGCTATATCATTGGGATTCTGAAAAACATTATTTAAAATATGGGACGTAGCCACTATACACATAAGCTATATCATTGGGATTCTGAAAAACATTATTTAAAATAATATATTTATACATATGATCCACATTTGGGATTCCAAAGAAAACACAAAAAGAACTGAAAAGCTGCTTTTAAAAGTATTTTCTTTAGACAATTGATTTCTTCATTTCACTAACAACACACATGTGACTTTGGCTGTTTGAAATAAAAATATTAAAACTAACATCTTTTGTAATAACAAAAGAACCCATATGCCAGCATTTTAACCCCAAATGAGCCCAGGATTTTTAATAAGCTTTATTTATTTATTTTTTTTTTTTAATTTTTAAATTTTTTTTTTTTTTTTTACAAATTCTGTAGTTATATGCTTATATGTTCATAGGTTAGAGATCCTTTTTGTTTGAATTAAAATAAAATAAGTGATGTGGTTGAAAAAGATATCCTTTTACTTTACTACTTAAGAAATGTTAAAATTTTTATTGCCCAGAGATTTGAAAATCAACATGTCTCTAGTGTGGGAGCTCAGAAAAAATAATTATAAAAATTTTAAGTTCAAATGTTGCATTGTAAAAAAAAAAAAGCTTTAAAGGAGTTACTTTAGCCAAACTACACTTTTACACCTTAAGATGACTTTTGACCTGTTATAAAGATAACTAGGACCCACCTGCTCATTAACATCCTCCACTATAAGCCTCAAAGTTTTCCTGATCACCTGGTATGTTTTGTTGGAATGTGGTCGCAAGAAGCCAGATTTTTCCAGGTTAGACAAGGTGACTAGATGCTCAAAGCCGTAGGTCTGAAACATTTGTTTACATGATGTAGGTACAAGTTTGTCAATACATAATATGAAAAGGTTTCTAAACATAATGTAAAGACTACTCTTAAGACCTAGAGATCTATTGGGTAAATGAAGTATAGTTCATATGTTTCTTGACTTCAGCCTTTGAAGGGATGGTGTGGTCAGCACATGCCCAGCCACCTCTACTTTAAGGTAGGAATTTAGAGCATTAATTGTTTAAGGTAGGATTTTAGAGCATTAATTGTTTAAGGTAGGATTTAAGAGTATTAATTGTTTAAGGTAGGATTTTAGAGCATTAATTGTTTAAGGTAGGATTTTAGAGCATTAATTGTTTAAGGTAGGATTTAAGAGCATTAAATTGATTAATTGTTTAAGGTGGGCTACATTAAGTCATTTAAGAGGATGTTTTTAAAAGCAACCACATCAAGAATTAGCCATTTAAATTACGCCCAATAAATCCTACCCAGTCTTCTTCTTCTTTTTCGTTCTTAATTTTTATTTTTGGAAGGGATCGAGCCTTATCTGCGGGACGGTTTGACTCAAGACTTTTTCGAATTTATGAACCATGACCTTTTGGACTCGACCACGCCTCCATCACAATTAAGGATACGTGTCAACTGGTTATGCGCCATTGAGGCCATTGACTCAGATTTCAGCCTGCTTTTCTTTTTGGATTTGATTCCATAACCTTTGTCCAACCAAGAACAAACTACAAGGCAGCAGTTGTTTGATTTTGGAGTTGTCTCTCCTGGAAGAGTGGCTGTCCCCAGCTAACGAGCCTCATCTGCCCGAGGGTTCAAACTCGAGACTTTTCGGTTGAGCAACCATGAGCTTTACCGACTTGACCACGCCGTCCCCCCATCCTACCCAGTAATAAAAATGGTTTTAAAAAAGGCCTGGAAATTTTTAGCTTATTTGTTTCTGCAGATTATGCCACAGAAATAATTTGTGCGGATAGTGAGATACCATCACTTTTGACAAGCTTTTTGTCACTTTGTAGAAACATATATATCTTGTATATAAATTACCTGGATTATTTCCCTTTTATAGTATTCAAGGACCTTAGGTTTTAAGCCATCATTACATATAGACTGTATGCAAATGAGGCGCAGAACACTGGAAAGAGGTTCCATTTTGGCTATACTGTCTTCTATATAAGGATTCACTTTGTCCGTGTCAATGCCATGAATCAACTCTAAGGAATAGAATAGTGTTTGTTACATTGGTTGGTGGATTGATATTGATCCCCCCCTCAATATTTCATAAGCTTAAACCTCAAGCTAACATTAGATTATCCTGACACCAGCTATATTTTTATTTTGATATCAAGTCATTATTACCTCTAGTAGGAAATTCACTGCTCACCTTCACGATCATAGAGACATGTAAAAGAATATCCAACTCACCTTGCTGGCAACGCAAAGAGTCCAAGAATCCTTCTGAGTCTGTCACTTCTTTGATCAACTCTGCTATTGATGTGTCTGTGAGCAAACAAAACGGTTACTGTAAGCACATGACAAAATGATTTCTATAACACAAGATGGCAAAATATAAGGGACATCACTAACTCATCAACAACAAAAAAAAACAGGGACACTACTCAATGAAATGAAGACATAACTCTCCAAACAAAATTGTAATATTTTAAGTGGAGACAGAGGGTAATTTGTTTACTTAATTAAAAGAAAAGGGACAAATATTGGGCAGACTACATGTAAATATGTCAACGCATATCTTGATAACTGGCGTAAGAATTCACAATTTTGTGTTAATAAAGTGACAGAAACCTAAAAAGTGAGTTAAGTTTAGTTCATAAAATATAAAATGAGAAAAAATTCCCATCAAGCGTAGCTAAACAAACTCACGAATGGCAAGGGAGTTGCGAGCAGCCTGCAGATGGGGCAGTTTGGATACAAATTGTTTCATCTCACCAACAGTCTTAGCCGCATGTCTTTCCTGGAGAAATATTCATTAAACACATTTACAGCTGTAAAAATTATACTCCTTTCAGACAAATGATTAAATCTTCCCAAGATATAAAAAGATGTTGGTTTAACTTTTAAAAAATCAAACAAAAACAAATTTACCACTAAATAACAATAAATGTCAGCTTACATCAAATTCAGCTGTAATAGTTTTGGCTTTGCGACTAACAATTGTGCCGACGGCATTGAAGTTTTTATCCCTAAGCTCAGCAAAAAGCTCATCTGCAGAGTTGAGGATGAACTTCTTGGGCTCTGTTAGAGCTTCTTCCTTGCTGTTCTTCTTTTCTTCTTGTGTCAGGAACTTTTCTGGTGGGAGCTTCACATTTGCTGCACAAGTAAAACAAGGAAGTGTGTGGAACATTCAACGGAAACTTAATTGTTTACATACAATAACTCAACATTTCAAGTGGTAGTTTCACGTGTTGCAAAACAAGGAAGTGTGTGCCACATCCAACTGAGACTTAGCTGTATACATCTGATAGTAAAGTTCCCTTTCAAACCTGACCTACAGGGCAAGTGAAGTAGAGTTCACTTGTTTCTGTGATAACTTTACACAAATGGAACTGAGGTAGAAATACTTTTTTTAAAGATGTGATTATAAAATACTGAATCAACCACTTATAGCCTTCAGCAACAGGTGTTCTGTTTTTTCTTCTTACATAAGCTTTTTAAGCTAATTTTGAAAACAAATGTTGCAAAAGAAGTCTGTTGTGCGTAGCTAAAAGATTATCTTAGTTGAGCTTAAAGGATGTTTTATTGCGACAATAAAAAAATGAATTTTAAAAATTCCACGATACAGCTAAAAACAATTTTTTGCCTTACTGTTTTTAATGTTGAAAACTTCATCAATGAGACCTTCATAAGTCAGCTGATATAAGAGAGGGGTCAAAAGGTCAACACTGCGATCAAGAATCAGAAGATTATCTATCTGTGGGCTTATCTGAGGTTCAAATCCACCCTGCTCCATCTTCATCCTTCTAAGCATTTCAACAACTTGCTGATTGCCATCATGAAAGAGAAAAACAAAACACTTAAACTTCACCTTCAAAATTTTAAGGATTTTTTTTGCAAACTGAAAAAAAAAAAATAGAGTTGACAAAATGGTGATTTGTTACCTTGGCACAGTCACCTTTCCCATAGATGTAAGGTATAGTTCCGTACAAGGCTTGTAAGGTCATCAAAGACTGTGCCGCAAAAAACATGGAAGTGAAATCATTTTCCAGGTAGCATTCCTGAAATAGAGAAAGCCTGCTTTAAAACTGAAATTTCTGAAGCTGATGAGCTAATGATACACATTTTTTATATAGTGTAAAACAATGTTTTCAAAGATTCTGTCATAAAATCCTTAACTAAATCTGAATTTACGTCATATTGAAACATTTCACGCAAGGTAAAATTTAAAATAGTTACTATGCTAAAATTAAATAAATATGTATTCTAATTTTCCTAGTTTTTTTTTTATTTCAGCTGGAAAAAACAGCATTTGGGCTGATCTTGTTGAATGTCTTCATAGCATGACAAGACAGTTTTAAGTCATGTATTAGTGTTACTGTAGTGTTTGGTGTTCAACAAATTAGCTCTACACCCCAGCAATGATGTTTGATTGACTCCACATAATCAGTTAGCAGAAAAGCTAAAGTTGTCACTAGAGAATTAAAAACATCAACTTACCCTGTAGGACTCATCCATCTCCATAGAGAGAAGATCTGAGTCAAATGGGATCAAGCCTAGGTTAAACTCCTCCACACTGGCAAACGATCCATACACACCAGCTTCCTGAGGGAACAAATTTATCTCCATTACCATCATTTAATCTCTGATATTTACGATATTAAGTAACGTTTTATTTTATATTATCTAAATGAGTAAATTTTGGTAATTGGGGTTTGGTTCTTATATAAAAAAGCTTTTATTAACTACAAAGCTGTGTGTAATTAAGGTAGGTTTATTTTTTGCACTAACTTTTAATTTTTTTTCACACAGTAAACTTTTGCGAGGCACAAACAACAAATAAAACTCCTTTCTTGACTGACCCCCTTTTGTTTCTTCACTGAAATGACACAAATATTTTGCAAAACATTTATAGTTTGAAGGGATTTAAAAAAAAAAATATACAGTTTATTAAAGAATTTGTATTTTATAATTTGTTCATGGTTACATTTTTTCCATTAACAAATACATTTCCAATCTTCTATAATCTATGGTAGATACAAATTTGTATACACATTTCTTTAAAAACAAAATGTAATCAACCTGACTAAACAACTGGCTATGGTTGACATCAGGCTCAACTTGGGTCGAGTGATGAAGATGATATTCTGTACATTGCTGGCTGGCAGACCTGTAGACTGGAGGCGGAACATGCGTTCCACTTCATGCTGTTCCTGTGAAGTAGACGGAGGTTATGTTAAGCATCAATGTGACATACTGTTATACATACGTAGTCATACATAAATATTTTTAATTCATAAATACTGTGAGATAATAAAATGAACGTATAAAAAATGCCTGTTAATTATCACCACTTTTCAGTAAGATACATAATGATAGAGGAAATACTGCATATGATTTTAGTGGACTAATAGAAGCTAATAAAATTAGCAAAAAAATACCTTGAGCAAAGAAGCCTCAGCTATCAAGCCAAATGGTCCAGTCAAACCATCATCCCATACTAAAGCCTGAAATATAAAAAGAAGTAGGAAATTAGTTTCAAGTGTGTATAAAAGAAATAAGGTGTGTGTTAAACCTTTAACTTCAGTAGTACAAAAATGAGCAGTTTTAACTTCATACAATGTCATACCTACCCTTATTACTACTGAACTATGCTGTAAACAATACATGTGTCAAGTCTGTCTCCCCCCCCCCCCCACCCCAAACTCACAATATTATCATGCTTTTTATCTGCATGTGTTATCACAAAAATCTGTTTACATTTGCTTGCATTTCGCATCTCACCTAAAAGCACAACTAAATTTAGTTAGAATAACTAACCCAATAGGGAACAGTGTGGTTGAGCGGTAGGGCACTTGACAACTAGCCTAAAAGCTTGAGTTTGGATCTCAGTTTGAATTGCCCTTGAGTCCACCCAGATCTGATGGGTATCTGACTCATGATAAGGAAAGTAAAGGTACAGTGATGACCACACCATCCTTTTAACCATCTGGTTATTTCAGCCTGCTTTTATTTTTGGATTTGCTTCCATAGCCTTTGTCCAACCAAGAACAAACTACAAGGCAGCAGTTGTTTGATTTTAGAGTTGTCTATCCTAGATGAGTGGCTGTCCCCAGCTATCGCGCCTCCTCTTCCAGAGGGTTCGAACTCTGGACTTATCAATGCAGCAACCATAAGCTAAACCGGCCCGACCATGCTGACATCCCTAAACATTTAAAAGAAAACATTTAGGCCTATGTTTCAGTTTTTATTTATATCTATGTTCTTTAAAACTAGAATGTTTCCTTCAGCTACACATTAGTAGGGTAAACAATTATGTTCACATTATTGAGAACAATGAAATAAAATGTACAATTCTATATGGTACATTTTACTTTACGGTATGTCTCTTACTTATACTTATAGGTTTGACCATGGATACTTATATAAAAAGTATATAGCCTATTATATAGGCCTATTTTAAAGGATCAATTATTCAGAAATTAAGCCTAACTTGTTTCTCAAATGAAAGAACTACAAAAAATGTCTCGCAAATTGTGTCTCCATATTTACTAGTGACGTATGGAGAGATGGTAGGACCAGGGTTGGGGTTAGGTACAGGGTTAGCATTGACATTAGCCAGCCATGTGTGTATTATTTAGTTAACTACCAGTCACCTGACACCCCTTTTTTAAAGAAGATTCCACTATCGAACACCGGTATAAACATTCTCCCATGAGATGCATGCTTGCTTGTAAGAATGTAAATCTACGACTCATTGCAGTCTGCTGATGAGTCTACAGTGCGAGACAGGCAGTGTGAGTGCAAGAAAGTTTAGAAAGATGTCAGTCTGTCATGAGATGAGCTTCCGTCACTTAGCTTTTTTTCGGTTTTGTAATGAATGCTGGTGGATGCGTTACTAATAAAAATGAATTAATTCGTTAGCTTAATGTAGTTATTTCTATTATTTATAGCTAAAAATGTGTAGCCTTTAAACCTTTGATCCAATACATTTGTCGATACATTCGAGAAATTCACGACGATAGAAATCTCTTAATATTCCTAAGTTTAATTTGGATGTATTTAAGTGGGCAGCACCGGAACCGGCCATTTTGTTACAAAGAAAATATTATTCTCCCAAACTAGAGGATTTATTATATAGCATAACTTCCCGGTAATTCTTTTTATTTCCAAATAACATCCATTAATATTAAAACAGAATAACGTTATTTTAAAAAAAGAAATATTTATATTAGTTTAAATGGTATTCATATGTTCTTTTAAATCATTGTGGGAATACTTAGAGACAAATTACTTTAAAATCAAATTACTCTCAACAATGATGCCTCATAAAAACGAAACAAGAAAAAAGGTGGTACTATTTTCCAGGAACTTTGGGAATTGTTGCCCATTTACTTGTCAACTACAAAAAGATCTCTACATTCAATGGATTATATACTACATAAGCCATATATAATTATATATAGGCCACACACACACACACACACATATATATATATATATATATATATATATATATATATATATATATATATATATATATATATATATATATATATATATATATATATATATGAAGCTTTTATTCAATCTAGGTTGGATTATGCTTCTGTAGTGTGGAGCGGCAGCTTTATAACTAAGCAGCGTCCTCTTCTATCATTACAAAAAAAGGGCTATAAAACTGGTTTCTGGCTTGTCTAGTAGTCTGGATTCTTTTATTACAACTAAAATACTTCCATTAAATAAAAAGATAATATATACTAAATCAATTTTTTTATATAAAATATTCCACGAAACAGCCCCCTCTTACTTATCAGACCGATTTTCTTTTAACATAAAATTAAATCGTCGTCTTAATTTACCGTTCCCATATACAACTTTTTTCCAAAAACATAGCTTCGCCTACTCTGGTTCTAATTTGTGGAACAATCTTCCTAATAAAATAAAGCTATCTAGTTCTGAAAATATATTCAAATCTAAACTAAAGCAACAATTATTTAATGACCTCTCTAACTGACTCATTGAAACATTTCTCATTCATCTATTATATTCTTTGTTTAAAATCTCATTTTGTATTATAACTATCTAACATTATTTTTTTATTCCACATTTTTAGTGCTGTGCTATGTCACTGCTATGTGTTATTGAATTGTTGTTTTATTTGTTTAAACGGCCAATGTGAAAAGAGGCCTTCGTGCCTACAATTGTTACCGTTTTTTTAATAAAATTGAATTTATATATATATATATATATATATATATATATATATATATATATATATATATATATATATATATATATATATATATATATATATATATATATATATATATATATATATATATATATATATGATATACATGCACGAATTCAGATTATTGTTTAACCTTTCCTATAGCAACATTATGTTTATCATTATGTATCTACATTGTATATACATTGACGCTCCTAGGTTTTTGCATGAACCCTAAGTTCTAATTTACTGGTTTTGTTAGATCTACAATTTAACTCGACTTTTTGGCGCTAAAACATTATATGAAAATTAGCTGTAATTATATATTAGGTACTTTATTTAACATGTGTACCCTCCTCCATTTCGACAACCGATGGTTATTTTTTTCTTTTTGTATTTTAACAGATCGCATGAAAGCTATAAGGAAATTTTGATGACGAGGGGGGGGGGGGGGGGGTCAATGTGACGAAACACAAAAAAGCAATGTTAAAAATTGATTTTTTTCTCTCGTGTTTTTAAAGATTATTTTTGTAAATTGTAATGGAAAATGATTAATTCGCTCAAGAAATATATGTTTTAAAACAAATAAAAAAAACAACAACTGCACTGCAATTTAGAGGAGGTCAATTGCCGGTTAAAGGGGGGGGGGGCGGTTAAAAAAAGTCAAAAAGTGTGATGCCATTTATGAATGACCCCTAATTAGTTTCACTTTCTGCCTGTATGAGACCAATGTCCATGATGCCGTTGATATTATTGAATTGCCTTATGAAATAATGAATTCAATTTCCGTTAGCAGGATATGCGAGCTGTGGGCCAAACGCCAGTTTGTATTTTTCTGTATCTCTTGACCGGTTAAGGCGATGAAATAAACGGTAGAACCAATATAGTTCACTTTATGTTCACTTAACATGTTTACTTCGAATGCCTAGCCAATATATGATCACATGTAGGATGTATAAGATGGAATGTCATGTATAACATGTGTAAGATGGAATGCCGTGTGTGGCGCGTGTATGATTGGATGTGTCTGGTGCGTGTAGGATATGATGTGTCTGTCGCGTGTAGGATGGGATGTGTCTGGTGCGTGTAGGATGGGATGTGTCTGGTGCGTGTAGAATGGGATGTGTCTGGTGCGTGTAGGATGGGATGTGTCTGGTGCGTGTAGGATGGGATGTGTCTGGTGCATGTAGGATATGATGTGTCTGTCGCGTGTAGGATGGGATGTGTCTGGTGCGTGTATGATGGGATGTATCTGGTGCGTGTAGAATGGGATGTGTCTGGTGCGTGTAGGATGGGATGTGTCTGGTGCGTGTAGAATGGGATGTGTCTGGTGCGTGTATGATGGGATGTGTCTGGTGCGTGTAGGATAGGATGTGTCTGGTGCGTGTAGGATGGGATGTGTCTGGTGCGTGTAGGATGGGATGTGTCTGGTGCGTGTAGGATGGGATGTGTCTGGTGCGTGTAGGATGGGATGTGTCTGTCGCGTGTAGGATGGGATGTGTCTGGTGCGTGTAGAATGGGATGTGTATGGTGCGTGTAGGATGGGATGTGTCTAGTGCTTGTAGGATGGGATGTGTCTGGTGCGTGTAGAATGGGATGTGTCTGGTGCGTGTAGGATGGGATGTGTCTCGTGCGTGTAGGATGGGATGTGTCTGGTGCGTGTAGAATGGGATGTGCCTGTCGCGTGTAGGATGGGATGTGTCTGGTGCGTGTAGGATGGGATGTGTCTGGTGCGTGTAGAATGGGATGTGTCTGTCGCGTGTAGGATGGGATGTGCCTGTCGCGTGTAGGATGGGATGTGTCTGGTGCGTGTAGAATGGGATGTATCTGTCGCGTGTAGGATGGGATGTGTCTGGTGCGTGTAGGATGGGATGTGTCTAGTGCGTGTAGGATGGGATGTGTCTGGTGCGTGTAGAATGGGATGTGTCTGGTGCGTGTAGGATGGGATGTGTCTCGTGCGTGTAGGATGGGATGTGTCTGGTGCGTGTAGAATGGGATGTGCCTGTCGCGTGTAGGATGGGATGTGTCTGGTGCGTGTAGGAAGGGATGTGTCTGGTGCGTGTAGAATGGGATGTGTCTGTCGCGTGTAGGATGGGATGTGCCTGTCGCGTGTAGGATGGGATGTGTCTGGTGCGTGTAGAATGGGATGTATCTGTCGCGTGTAGGATGGGATGTGTCTGGTGCGTGTAGGATGGGATGTGTTTGGTGCGTGTAGGATGGGATGTGTCTGTCGCGTGTAGGATGGGATGTGTCTGGTGCGTGTATGATGGGATGTGTCTGGTGCGTGTAGGATGGGATTTGTCTGGTGCGTGTAGGATGGGATGTGTCTGGTACGTGTAGGATGGGATGTGCCTGTCGCGTGTAGGATGGGATGTGTCTGGTGCGTGTAGGATGGGATGTGTCTGGTGCGTGTAGGATGGGAAGTGTCTGGTGCATGTATGATGGGATGTCGTGTCTGGTGCGTGTAGGATAAGATGTGTCTGTCGCGTGTAGGATGGGATGTGTCTAGTGCGTGTAGGACGGGATGTGTCTGGTGCGTGTATGATGGGATGTGCCTGTTGCGTGTATGATGGGATGTGTCTGGTGCGTGTAGGATAAGATGTGTCTGTCGCGTGTAGGATGGGATGTGTCTGGTGCGCGTATGATGGGATGTGTCTGGTGCGTGTATGATGGGATGTGTCTGTCGCGTGTAGGATGGGATGTGTCTGGTGCGCGTATGATGGGATGTGCCTGTTGCGTGTATGATGGGATGTGTCTGGTGCGTGTAGGATAAGATGTGTCTGTCGCGTGTAGGATGGGATGTGTCTAGTGCGTGTACAATGGGATGTGTCTGGTGCGTGATGTCATGTGTAAAAACCTATGTCACCCTCTATAATCAGACCCTTATTACAGATTAGTGAGTTAAAAGCATTGGCCCCTCCCAAATCTAAACCTTGATTACAAATGGGTGAGTTGCAATCGTGTAATCAGGTCTTGATTACATCACATTACCTTATTTTCATCATATTTGCAAAGGGTTTGTGTTAAAAATATTTTAAATAATACTTTTAGTTTTTGGGCTACTAAATCATGATTAACTATATGCGGTTTTTTTTAAAAAAAAAAAAAGATGAATACATTCATAACTTCACCACAACACATTCAGTGGTTTTCCAGACTTTTTTCTCCGGGGGAGGGGGGGGGGGGGCACTTGAAATTTTCGGGGTGGACCCGTAGAGATGACCGGAAAAGAAACTCTGAACACATTAGACTTGGATTTAAAGATAAACACAATAGAACAAAATAATAAACCACTCTCACCTCTCGTGTTTTTTTAAAGGCTTAATATAATGCATTTTTTTAAATACGCACGATAGCCCACGTTTTAAATGTTTATTGCCGCTCTACACTACTTACAGAAAATGTAGAAATGGCGCTTTCATTTGAGAATCGACTGCGCTTAATTTCTGAATACTTGACCCTTTTATAATATAATATAGGCTATCATGGTCAAACACAGATCCAAAGTTAGAGACAAATCAATATATCTCAATCATCTGTTAAAATGTACCATAAAGAATTGTACATTTTATTTCACAACAATGTGAACATAATTTTTGACCCAACTAATGTGCAGCTAAAGCAAATGTATTTAAAAAAAAACATTATAGTTTTAAAGAACGTAGATATAGATAAATAATGAAACATAAATTGCTACTTTTGAAATGTTTGAGTTTTATAATTAAGAGACAAAAAAGGACACCATACTCTGAACTTTTTGTTGCATTAATGTTGGGAGTGTAAACATCCGGGAGTGATGAGGCTGTGTAGGCGTGTATGGAAACGGAGAAATTATCGATGGATGGAGATGGCGGTGGACAATCTATTGCGCCATTGACGAATTATTTGCACCGTCTTTCTTGCGCAGATGCTATTGGGATAGTAATTACAGGATGATATCGGAAAGAATGGCATCAGAAAGAATGGCATCTGAATCTGAAGAGCGTCAGCGACTTTTAAGAGCAGTGAAAAAAGAGGTGAGCTTCCTTAAATTACAGCGTAGTTCTTCTGAATTTTATGTAGAATAGTTCCTATGTCGAAATTCAATTCGCATAATTTATTTAGCATGATTTATGTTTAATAATAAGAGCTCCAAAGCAAAGCCAACTAGAATCTATATTCTAGTTGTACTGAGAGTTAGTTACGAATTTAGTTTCCCACCTTTTCACCTTATTAGATTAGTCTTGATTACTTAACTAGACATAACTTGATTGTTAAACTAAAGATTTAGATAGAATTAGAAGAAATGATTAAGTTAGAGAAACAATAAGAATAGCTTAGGCATGCCCTCTTATTATAGTATACTATTTGTCCAATCAAATATTAATAATAAACAATGTAAAAATGTAGGCCTATTCAATATATAGTATTGGGGACCACTGGGCCTTGATTTTAGTTCTATTGGATAATTGTGGTATGCTAAATAAAAATATATTAGGGCCTAATTAATAAAGTTTAATTTAGGCCTAATTAGTAACCTATAAATATAGGCTTACTTAGTAATATTATACTATACTTCTATAGCAGCAACTCTAGCTTTTACTTCATCACATTTTAATTGTTTAATTAATTTTTTTTTACTTCAGCCTACAACATTCATTTTTTTGAAAGGTTAAAAAAAATCTAAAATTCAACTTTAAAACACTATCATGGGTTTCTGTTTTTACTTGCAGCACTCTTGAAAGCTGTGTAATACATAGAAAGAAGAGCTTGATTTCACTCTGATTTTCAAGCTAGTAATCAGAGTATCAACAAGCTCATGAATTAGACCAGTAAAATCATTTGTAATTTTTTTAAAAATCTGAATATACCAGAATATATAAGTTTTTAGCCCAGTGCCTATATATTCTAGTACCTTTTTATACTCTGTTCACAATGTTTAAAATATAGCTAATAATATTCTTACTTATAATCATGTTGTATTCATAGTGACTAGTATACTCCATTCTTAGTGACCAACATACTCCATTCATACGGACCAAGATACTCCATTCATACGGACCAAGATACTCCATTCATACGGACCAAGATACTCCATTCGTACTGACCAACATACTCCATTCCTACTGACCAACATGTGGACTAATATATACAGATAAACATACTTTTTCCTGTCTCAATTGACCAAATAGCAGAAATTTTAATTATAAACATAATGCAATCATTTCTATGATAATCAGAAATCCCAAAAGCAACTAGTTAACAGTGTAACCAATAGGATAAAATATCACACTAAAGACAGCGTGTAACTAATAGGATAAAATGTCACACTAGAGACAGCGTGTAACTAATAGGATAAAATGTCACACTAGAGACAGCGTGTAACTAATAGGATAAAATGTCACACTAGAGACAGCGTGTAACTAATAGGATAAAATGTCACACTAGAGACAGCGTGTAACTAATAGGATAAAATGTCACACTAGAGACAGCGTCTGTATGTGTTGTTTTATTCTCCCCACCTGTCAGGTGAAACAAATCATGGAAGAGGCTGTCACACGCAAGTTTGTCCATGAAGAGAGCAGCAGCATTACATCCCTTTGTGGTAAGTTTGTAGGAATCTAGCCGCAGCATTACATCCCTTTGTGGTAAGTTTGTAGGAATGTAGCCGCAGGATTCTTAATGTAAATCATCCATTAACCCTTGTTTTTTTTTTTTGGTGGTTGGGGCACCACTGAGTGCTGTGTCTAGGGCATAGTGTCACATGACGCTGCCCACCAATCTCCAAGCCTGACCACAGCCAGATGCCTCCTTTTAGGTGGCTCACCTTGGTCAACAACATGTGGCTGTTGAAGTTCATCTAGTAACTTTTGCACCCTGGCCGGGGACCTTTACTGGAAGGTCATATTTCCAGCATTATGTCCATTTATACTTTATTCGTGTAGGAATCCAGTAGCAGCTTTATTCCCCAGTTTGTTGACATGTAGCACAAGATTATGCCCCTAAAAGTTTGTAGCAAATTAAGTGATGTTATACAATGTTTTGTCCCTTTAAGTTTTAGGAATGTAGCATTATGTCACTATATGTTTGTAGGAATGAAGCACAGCATTTTGTTTTTTAGGTTTGTGGGAATGTAGTATTATGTCCCTTTAAGTTTGTAGGAATGTAGCATTTTGTCATTTTTTATAGAAATGTAGCATCATGTCCGTATGTTTTGACTGCACTGAGTGGAGATATGAGAGAAACTGACTCGTCAGACATCTTGTTTGTTATGTCTAGTGATATGTTAGTGTAGCAGAGGTCTCTAGTCCATCAAGTGAGAGGCTGATGTGGTGTACAGTAATGGTCATTTGAATACTTGAACATTCTGGAATAAAACATTTAAACCTGAAAAAAACATGTAATTTGTGTGCAGTTGAAGTTCATTATTATACTAGAACTGTTTGGATTTTAAGAGCCAATTTTATCATGTTGAAGTTCAGAGCCACGTGCAGCTGTTGTTCCCGGCCCTTGTAGATGCAATGGCCCTTATATACTTTGTAGATGAGATGACCCTGGTAAACTTTGTAGATGAGATGGCCCTGGTAAACTTTGTAGATGAGATGGCCCTGGTAAACTTTGTAGATGAGATGACCCTGGTAAACTTTGTAGATGAGATGGCCCTGGTAAACTTTGTAGATCAGATGGCCCTGGTAAACTTTGTAGATGAGATGGCCCTGGTAAACTTTGTAGATGAGATGGCCCTGGTAAACTTTGTAGATGAGATGGCCCTGGTAAACTTTGTAGATGAGATGGCCCTGGTAAGCTTTGTAGATGAGATGGCCCTGGTAAACTTTGTAGATGAGATGGCCCTGGTAAACTTTGTAGATGAGATGGCCCTGGTAAACTTTGTAGATGAGATGGCCCTGGTAAACTTTGTAGATGAGATGGCCCTGGTAAGCTTTGTAGATGAGATGGCCCTGGTGAACTTTGTAGATGAGATGCCCTGGTAAGCCTAGGGGCCGCTTGTTGCCATAAAGCATGCTGTGCCCTGAAGCACTCACACGGTGGGGAGGCTGTAACAGCCTCTAAACACGCACATCTGGGGGGGGGGGGGAGGGGGGTACGAAGGACGACATATTCAGTCTTGTAGAGGTAGGATTTGTCATTAAGTCTTAATGGGATGGGGTGCTATTTTGAGTTGTTAGGGTTCGGGCGTCACTTTGATCTGTTGGGGGGGGGGGGGGGCATTTTGAGTTGTTGGATTGCCACTTTGATATGCTGGGGTGGGGCATTTTGAGTCTTGTTTGGGTGGGGGTATCAATTTATGTTGTCGGGGTAAGGCATTTAGAGTCTTGTTGGGGTGGAGGTGCCGCCGAGTCTTGACAGGGTGGGGGTGCCGCCGATTCCTGTTGTGGTGTATCGTACTGTCGTGCCGACCTACCGTATTTGGTATCAGTACCGACCGGGTGCGATATCGCCGGTGACCTTGGCGGAGGCTGGCGAATAAAATTCTCCCAGCAGACGAACAAACAAGAAAGAAAATCGATAACCACAGCGTTCAAGTCTGACGTCAGCATTCTGTGTGTACAGTGCCAGAATGGTGGAGGCCTCAACACATTCCAATGTTTAGATGGGGGGGGGGGGGGGGTCGGGGGTTAATCCGTATACAACTACGCAGAGAGTGCTATTTTGTAGCCAAAAATCGTAGGATCAACTTTAAATCAATAGCTTCACGTTATAAAAAAATAAATTAATTAGTCACAGTGACTGAGTGATGTTAAAGTTCAATAATACTTTCTTGTTCATCAAACATCGCACTCATTACATCACACGTTTAACATCGCACTCATTACATCACAGTTCTAACAGCGTTTATATGTCCAACTTTTCTACCACCTCTAACATATGTCTGTATGTCCGACATGGCTTCTATATCTGACATGTCCAGCATATGCCTGTATGTCGAACATATGCCTGTATGTCCAACATATATCTGTATGTCCAACATTGCATGAGCCACCACGTGCCCAGTCTACATCCATCATATCGTTGACAAGGCGATCCCTAGCGTATCCTATCAGAAGGGATAGAACGGAAAATAGATCTCAATTTCTTTATTATCATCCAATGGCCAAGCTTCGATTTTGTGAACGGATGTGGGGGGGGGGGGGGGGAAAGCAGATATGCCAGGAGTTTGGGGAGGTTTAAGGCAAATGGATCTACTTAGAGTACAAAACAGACCCCCCACCCCTCTCAACAATCCGTTGTGTAAGTCTCAGTTCAAGCTCAGTATCTATACGTCTTGTCATTCTGCTCGCAGGTATAGGTTGGGCTGTCTGTCTATTCACTTGGATAAACTAGGCTATCAATCTATTCCCTTGTGTAGAATAGGCTATCAATCTATTCTCTTGTGTAGACTAGGCTATCAATCTATTCACTTGTGTAGACTAGGCTATCAATCTATTTCATTGTGTAGACTAGGCTATCAATCTATTCCATTGTGTAGACTAGGCTATCAACCTATCCCCTTGTGTAGACTAGGCTATCAATCTATTTCCGTGTGTAGACTAAGCTATCAATCTATTCACTTGTGTAGACTAAGCTATCAATCTATTCACTTGTGTAGACTAGGCTATCAATCTATTCCCTTGTGTAGACTAGGCTATCAACCTATCCCCTTGTGTAGACTAAGCTATCAATCTATTCCCTTGTGTAGATTAAGCTATCAATCTATTCCCTTGTGTAGACTAGGCTATCAACCTATCCCCTTGTGTAGACTATGCTATAAATCTATCACCTTGTGTAGACTAAGCAGTCCATCTATTTTCTTGACCTTAATCAGACTAATCTTCACTTTGATACTACTTTGACTTCGATTGTCGTGTCACTTCATGTGAAAGACGTGTTTTGATGTATCCTGTTGTTGAGATGTTAGTGACACCTTCACCGTGGTTGACGGTTCTCGTGTTTTGATGTATCCTGTTGTTGAGATGTTAGTGACACCTTCACCGTGGTTGATGTTTCTCGTGTTTTGATGTATCCTGTTGTTGAGATCTTTATGTTAGTGACACCTTCACCGTGGTTTCTCATGTTTTGACTCCATTGTTAGCCCACAATGTCTGGCCTTTGATCACACGATTGGAAAGGTTGTGTACTTTAATATATCGTAACGTGGGCAATTTAATTTTATACAAACAAACCGGTCATAGCAATAATGAAAGTTTCCGGAGGGGTGGTCTAAGTGAGAAAGTGGGGTGGTCTTATTGTGGAGTAGGGGTGGCTTTAGTGTAGAACAGGGGTGGTTATAGTATGGAGTAAGGGCTGTGTGGAACCATGAAATTGTCCTGAACATTTTGGTAAACACATACACGTGAATCTTTTGAATCACCTCACACAATATATAACACCATACACTTTTATCATCAAACGTCCATCACACCACACATCAAACACCAATATTATCCCCACACACCTGTAACACCACACGCCCCTAACACACCATCGCCACCCGCACAACACCTCACCTAGCACTTGACATCCATAAACCAATGATTCCCTGACACGACTTCACCGCGTTGAAACCCCCAACATTGATGGGAACTAAATGTTAACCAACAAAGCGGGAGAACTCTATTGATCTATTTCGTTTCTTTCGTAATACACCTTTTGTCATTCTTTGAGATTAAAATACCAGCGCCCCCAACATAAAACGATCGAAAGACACAAGAATTAAAAGGTGCAGATTGTAGTTGAAGAATGCAAGGTTTATTTTTAAATTTTTACCCATTGCGTTTTAAAACAACTTCGAGTTGGCGAAGTTTTTGGTGTCTTATAGATTGTGTTGTCGATGTTGTCTGGGTGTTGTAGATAGACTGGTGTTGTTTTGTAAAAGGTAAAAGTAAAACAAGTCGGGTGGTTATAAAATAGTGGAGTGTCAGGATGGACGGTTGTATGGTAGCGAGGTTCAGACTTGGGTAGGCTAGTGTCGGACCTGGGCGGGCGTCACCTTTTTGGTGGGGGTTGTGGTGGTGTGGACTAGTGGTTGTGTTGATGTAGACTGATGGTTGTGTTGATGTGGACTGGTGGTTGTGTTGATGTAGTCTGGTGGTTGTGTTGATGTGGACTGGTGGTTGTGTTGATGTAGTCTGGTGGTTGTGTTGATGTAGTCTGGTGGTTGTGTTGATGTGGACTGGTGGTTGTGTTGATGTGGACTGGTGGTTGTGGTGGTGTGGACTGGTGGTTGTGTTGATGTCTGGTGGTTGTGATGATGTGGACTGGTGGTTGTGATGATGTGGACTGGTGGTTGTGTTGATGTGGACTGGTGGTTGTGTTGATGTGGACTGGTGGTTGTGGTGGTGTGGTTGTTTTGATGTGGACTGGTGGTTGTGTTGATGTGGTTGTGTTGATGTAGACTGGTGGTTGTGTTGATGTAGACTGGTGGTTGTGTTGATGTAGACTGGTGGTTGTGTTGATGTAGACTGGTGGTTGTGTTGATAACTGGTTGTTGTGTTGGTGTAGACTGGTGGTTGTGGTGGTGTAGACTGGTGGTTGTGTTGATGTAGACTGGTGGTTGTGTTGATGTAGACTGGTGGTTGTGTTGATGTAGACTGGTGGTTGTGTTGA